GTGAGGTTCAGTATGCTTTCTAGTGCAGGAGCCTAGGGGGTTAGGGTTAAAGAGTTTATAGTTCATGTCATGGGCAATCATATGCATCATTGAAGTTGCCAGGAGTGTTGACATTGAGACCACCACAAGACCAGACAGAGACCAGAAACAAGATCATGCACAAGACCTCTCGCAGGTCACAGGACGAACAACGGAATGCTTTTGTTGAAGCTAATTTGCATAAGCTCTCAACTTGAATTCAGACTACAGGTCTTGTGGTGGCCTGGTCAGAGTCATTTGGGGGTCTTGTGAGAGTTGTAAGAGGTCTTGAATGCAGGACTGCTCACCAGGGGTGTTAGACTTTTTTCTAGAGAGGACAAACCATATAACCAGCGGAGTAAAAAACAAACGGGGGGGGGGGATATGCCCACTTGATGTTCCCTTGCAGCACCCATGTCATTGTCCATCAGGACCCGTACAGGTGCCAGTTGTCACCTGCTTGGTTTAAAAGGACAAAGAAGACAGGATAAGAGTGGACAAAGCAAGAAATTCTCAACGAGGCAAACAGTTGTGCCCTCACCTACAGACAGCTGCTGAGCTGGGGTCTAGATGGTCAACACGGTCGCATCATTGTGCATTGGTCTTGCATTGTTTATTTGTTTTGCGTTGCAGTTCCCAGACTATGTGACGGCAGGCGAGTTTTTCCACAATGGCTTCGTGCTCATCGCCATCATATTCTTGGCCGGCGTTTCCCGCTTTGTCCTCTTGCAGAACTACTATCACGTGACGATTGTCTCCAGCATCCATCTCCGCGTTGGCCTGCAGGTCAGGGGTCATTGTTCAAACTGTGGCTGACCGACATGTATACCAACATCTGAAGTTGCCTACCAAATAACTCCTGATTATCCTTGAAATATTTATGGGGTTTTCGTGACGATTTAATGATGTTTTGTCTTGGTGGTGGTTTTCAAATAGTACAGATTCTCTGCCATCCATTACATCATCAACTAAACAGAATAAATCTCTTACGCTACATTCTGAAATTCACCAAAATTAAAGAAGTTGCATTTCTTCTCTCCAAAGATGTACTAATAGGATAAACCTTTCTGCAAAATCTGACAGAAATCCTGGAATTGTGCATTGTGCAGTCTGTGTTTTATGGTATTACCACTGCCCTACCTTCCAGGTTGCTGTTTATGACAAAACCCTCCGTCTGTCCAGCCACACACTCACCAGTGGAGAAATGACGACGGGCCAGATCACCAATTACATGTCTGTTGATGCCCAGAACATCCAGACGATGTTCGAGTTTGTACACTATGCCTACTCCATACCGATCCAGGTGAGTGGTTGCCATGGTGACAGATTTGAAGTGGACCAGGAAAGGTACTTAATAGATCTGATGTAGGAAACAAAACTTGAGATCTGTGTCTGTTTTTTACGATATTGTCCTTAAAAAGAAGTTGGCTGGTTTTAAATTCGGCTTCGTGAGTTTGCGTAAAAAACCTCCTTTTCACTGTTGTCCATGTTACTGCTCAAAGAACGACTCATTCAATGACAGGAATAGTTGAGACTGGTATCCTTCACACAATCCAATGGGGGGATTGGAAACCAGTGACTAGTTTTGTTCAATTGTACAGCTCAAAATGGCCAATGATGTTTCTGGATTTTTCACAGAGGTCAGTGATTGAAGTGCCTTTTTGTCTCTTATTTGAACTCTTGACCTTTGACTTTCACCCTCTTTTGTATTTGATGCATATTCATACGTTTTACCTGTAGATCACTGTCTTGCTTGTCATGTTGTATTTCAACCTTGGAGTAGCTGCGCTAGTGGCATCCTGTTGTTTTGTCATCGGGGCTCCCATTCAGTACAAACTGGCCAAAATACAGGCCATCGTAAAGAAAAATGCCCTGGTAAGTGGCAACGTACTCTCATGTGTCTTTAATGATGGCTCTCACTTTCTGCACCACTCGATTATCCAGGAAAATGTTTTTTAAAAATATCAGACTTATGGAAAAAGAATACAGTTAGCTTGAAATGTAAACTAGGCATGGGGTCCGATAAACAGTTGGGATTTTGTAATCCGCCTTTAGGTTACTGGTTGCAATTTTGTTGTCTTTTACTTTGTCAAATGTAGGTAAGGCCTTAGCTTGTTAATACTTTTTCTCTAACATGCATTTTTATGGTTGATAAGAAATTCTTGGATTAAGATTATTTGAAATTTTATCAGATTTGATTAGTAACTCTTGATCCATCAAAAAATGACCCCTTTGCATTTTGCATTCTAGCAGCTCAAGTCTACCAAAACTCGCATCAGACTCTGTGCTAAATTACATTTAGAAGACTTTGTTAAACTTATCAGGGGACACCTGTTACCTGTTTTCTTCCAAACATGAAAGCTTTTTCATTCTGTTCTGCCTCTTCCAGAAAATTTCTGACGAGCGCCTCAAGCAGACGCACGAGATGCTCCAAGGGATGAAGCTGATCAAGCTGTATGGATGGGAGAAGATCTTCTCTGAGGTCATCACACTCGTCCGTACAAGAGAAATCAAGCAGCTGACCAAGGCAGCCGTCCTGTATTCGCTCTCTAGTATGTTGTAGAACATGCCTTGTCTGAGAGTGTGTTCCGGTCTTGTGAAATTCACTATAAGTTGTGAAATCCAGTTTAGAGATGTGCTAGAATTGGGGTTTCATTCTTCAAAAACATTTATTGTTGATTCACTTGCAAGCTTTTACAGCCATCAGTTTCTGTTTCTCCGGGTGATTAATTGATTGATTCTTATTTTGACACTTGCAGATTTCCTAAGTTTTACAACTCCCGCTCTTGTCACACTTTTGGTAAGTGTATATTTCCAGTGATGAAAACCTGTAGAGAAATACCGTTTTTGATCTCATGAAGATAAGATGCCCTCTCATTTTTTTCCTTCTGTTTTCCCCTTTGAACACTCCCACACAGTGGCATTTATGTTTAAGATGGCTCTATTTCAAGTCATTAAGCACCTTTACAGTTCTTGAGTTTACACTTCAAAATAGCCAACAACTTTTGCAACTCGTTTGTTCTGCAATCTTTGATAAAACATGAAACTTTCACAAACAGACTTCTTGGCTTTGTTAAAACTCTCTCTGTCTCCATTCCTAGGGTTTTGTCCTGTATTCAAGTTTCACTGGTCTCCAGTTGACGCCAGCCGTAGCGTTTACCACACTAGCCATTATCAATCAGATGCGACTGCCAGTGCAAAGTGAGTATCCTCAAACCTTCATCTGATATCTTTTTTTTAGTCCTGTTTGCATGTTTAGTAATATGACACTATATAAACAGCCCTCCCCTGTAAATAATTATGACTTCGCTACATCCTGTAGTATTGAACCAACACGTGACCTTATGACATGTATATATTCACTAATGCAAAAACATATGAGAAAAGGCACCTAACTTTGGAAAGGTTGTAAACTGTCGGTATGTTCATATATTTGCAAAGATTTGCATACTGGATGTAGCAAGTCTTTTTTGTCGGTGAGGCTGTCGAAGAGTCCAGCGGTTCTTTTCGAAACCATACGCACTCACTAAAGAGATTTACAAAACAGATTTACAAGAGGTTTGCCACCGAAAAATTTTCCTCAGAATAGGAGTGTGAACAGTGCGACCTGAGCCCTCTACTGTTCTCATGTTATTTAGCCTGAAATTTTCAAGCATGTTTTTCCCAGTAAACCTGTGTCAGTGAAATATTTCCCCTGTAGTGTTTGTGTGACAAAATAGAAACTGTAAAATGCAATGGTTGAGAAGTCCTATCTGTGTAAAAAAATATTGTTCTTGACAGTGATTCCGGAGGTGACAAACTTTGTGGTCAGTGCCCACGTCAGTGTGACACGAATCAAGCGCTTCTTCTTAGCCGAGGAGATTGAAACCAGTGACGATGGGCCAGCTAATTGCGTACAAATTGAAGAGGGGGACCAGCTAAGCATGAAGTACATGAAACTCAATGACTCTAGGACCCAAATCAAAAACAGTGACTCGGACGGGGGCATCCACGGTGAACTTAATTCAAGCTTTGATGCCGATGATGTGAGTTAACTTGTTCTGTGCTGGAAAATCACGCTTCATCCTTTTAGAGAGTGTATGCGACAAGATTAAATAAAACAGAATCATAAGGCCATGTTTTCAGTAATTTTATTTCAGCTTGCATCAAAAAGAACAAATGAAAGCCTTGTCTTTATATATCACTCAGTTTGGCTTCCCGATGAAAATAAACATTGCATTTATATTGGTGGAAAATGTTGTGGGGTTTTTCTTGATTTGTGCAAGATTTTTTCCCAGGCCTTTATCTCAAAAATGGTTCTAGGGACTTATCTTATAAGGTGTATTGATACTGCAGCCTGCAGCTTTGTTATTTAAGAACAGTGTTGCTATATGTGCCACAGTAGCTGATGTTGATAACAGGCCAAGGGGAACTTCCATGTGAAACGGTGACATCCTTCCAAATGTGCACAGTACATAAAAATCCTTGAATGAACTTTGCCTGGTAAGGCCAACCAGGCAAATGTGATGAATGGTTCAAAACTGTGAACCAAACCGGAACTGGATTTGTATTGCCCATCACTGGTTGCCCGTCACAGGTTCTCAGTTGACTTTTTCTTAATAGTAGAGTAAGCATACTGAGCAGCATTCGTTACCATGGAACTCACATCGTGAGCTTTCACACTGCCCATAATTTTTGCCTCATAGTGGTAAATTTCCAGCTTGCATTTTTATTCTGAAATTATTCCAGCCTTCAGATGTTCAAGTGGAGGTTGTGCAACCTGGAGGGTACACGAATGTTCACAATCACGAATCACCAGCATCTCCTCCCAGCTTACCAGAGGATCTAGCAATTAAGGTATGGTACTCCTGATACACCCCAAGTGGTCCTGTAGAGGCAGAATTTTCTTCCAAGTTCTCAATACGCACCATATTAACGGTAGTCTGAAGATTTGTCCTTATTTTGTTCAGGTCACAAATGGGACATTTTCTTGGGACTCGGGGAGTAGTACTACACTGACTGGCATCAACGTCGAGATTCCAAAAGGTAGGGCATTACTAGCGTACTTCCAAAGTTGCTCCTGAGGCACCACTTTCTGTCTTCTCCTTGTGTAGCTGACCCATAGTTTCAGAGCACAATATTGGAGGGACGTGCTTTGCTTCGGCAGCGTGTTCGGATCATGAAGATGCCGCAGGCTTTTGAAGTTGAAACCTGGTTACTCATGCCATTGTTGTATTAAGCCTATCCCAAGTCATTGAGTCTCACCGAGAGTCAACAGGTGTAACAAGGGCAATTCTGTGTTGTTGCACTCCCTCGGACTGGCGATGCGACTTGTCATTTTTAGCCGTACGCGTAAGAATTGTGCACCCCCTGATATACGGCACATGCACAGCAATGTGCCAGTTCAGGTCAGATTCTTTATTCGTTAAAGATGCATTGAGTACAATCACATACATCCACACATTAACACCTACAAACACAGAAACAAAAATGCACAGATGCGTGAAACACATTGCAGAAAGGCAGGGTCAATTCAAGAACAGGTATGCCAACTCAACACATTCTGTGCATTTGCGTCGGCACGTGACCGCTATGGCCAACCTTGCGTATGTGAATTGTGACTGTCATGGCCTCTTACATGTTTCACTCTGAGCATGCTCTGTTGGAATAGCCAACTAGCTGATTGTGTATCATAACTCCCATTATTTTTCCATTCAGCATCTTACGCTGAAAAGCTGGTTAAAGAGCATTCACTCTTCATCCCAGAATGTTACTAATAGAGACTATTGTTTCTGTCTTTGTCTCAAGGCAAATTGACCATGATTGTTGGCCAGGTTGGTACAGGCAAGTCATCATTGCTGTCAGCACTACTTGGTGAAATGCACACACTCACAGGGACTGTACAGTTTAACAAGTAAGCCAAACCTTGAAGCTGAAACCGTTGGTTGCACTGTCTGGAGGTCTCCCAAGTGAACCCCTTCTGCCCGCCCTCCAAAAAATACAAAAATAAAGACACTTTCTTTTCTTGTGCATGGAATTTCTTGAAATTTTGTTGTACCAAATTTAACTTCAATGTTGTTCCAAACTTTCCAACATTTTCTAGATTTTCGTCATAATTCCTAACATATTCCTATTCTTTAATTTAATTAAAACGATTCCCAGCACTTTGTCAAATAAACTTGCCCTGTAATGATCAGTATCCAACCACATTTGGCCAAATTGTGGCTGACCGCACACAAAATAACCTTAAAAAAACCAGATAACAATTTCCCAGTTTAGTTACAGTTTTGTGTAGTCCTTGCCTTTGCTGCATGGGGCTTTTGACCATCCTTTATGAAATCATAACTCTTTTTTGATGTTATTGACATGGGTTCTTGAGTTAACCCTGTTCATTCTTGTTGTCTGCTCCCCTCCGTCATCAGGAAGGAGAAGGGTGTGGCCTACTCCGCCCAGCGTGCCTGGCTGCTCAACGCCTCCCTCAGAGACAACATCTTATTTGGACAAGAGCTTGAGTCGGAAAAGTCAGTTTCTTGATGGATTTCCTTAATTTTTTGATATCACTATAACTATTGTGCACTATCACATCTACTCAGCCATACAGAAGTTGTTAAAAAATGTCAGATGAAAGATGGATTAAGTTTTGAAGAAGTACAAGTGTAGGCTACCATTGATTTTCAGAACTTTTCAAGAGGCATCCATGGTCACACTGTTGATAAAATGAGTTGAATGGCTGCCATCTTGATGGCCATTGCTTTTTTCCACAGGGTATGCACAAAGGAGGTTTCCCTGGGTAGCAAAAGAACTGCCCTGCAAGATGGCTACCGTGCAAAGCCTCTATTGAAATAGGCAACTCTTGCCAGTCAAAACTTTCATAGAATCCATTCATTTTTCTCTTGTTTTCCATCCAAGTTGGCTGTAAGCAGGTGAATGATCTTCCCTCCTGTAATTTGTGTTTTAGATACCAGGCGGTAGTGTCTGCCTGCTCCCTTCAGCCGGATATCGACATCCTGCCTGGCGGGGATCAGACAGAGATTGGAGAGAAGGGAATCAACCTGAGTGGAGGGCAGAAGCAACGAGTCAGCGTAGCCAGGGCCATCTATAGCCACCATGACATTGTCATACTGGTAAGAGGTCATGAAACTTTGTTCAGATAGATGGCACAACAGATGAAAGATGAGTTGGTGTTTATTATGGGCACTGCTTTCCTTGCTTTGGTTTGAGTCTACTTGGAAAGCTTGGCTACTTTTCCCCGTCCTGAAGAGACACTATCTTGCTTAGCAAAAGTATGGTTCAGACAAGTATGTAGTACATTTCATGTATGGTATATTTTTAATACAGGGCTGGTTCCCACTTGCTTTGTATTTAGCAGTGTTTTTTGCTTAGATTCTTTGCGATATGTAATGGGGCCCTGTGCAGCTATGACGACGTTAAGTAATGTACAAATACAGTCACGGTTGGCACCGCGGTGAGAATTTCACGGAAAGAGAAAACTTGATTCTTTGTATAATTACGCAGGATGATCCCTTGTCGGCTCTTGATGTCCACGTGGGCACTCAGCTGTTTGAAGAAGGGATACTGGACTTACTGTTGGAGAACCATCGCACTGTGGTACTGGTCACTCATCAGGTTCAGTACATCAAGTATGCTCATAAGGTGGGTTGGGTTTCCTGCAAGTCTGCCCACGGTCATCGTGTAGTGTCTGATATGGTTGACTAAATGCTGTTTGCACTGTGACGTGGTGTACAGCGTAGTTCTGGATTTTTTTGGGGGGGGTTAGTTTAACATAATGTTTATGTTATGAAAAAATGAATGACATTTAGTTTCATTCACAGAGAAATTGGAATTGTTTTGTAGAGCTTGATAAAGGTTGCAGGAGGACGCTGAGTACTAGCAGCCGTGCTAGATGACCGGTGGGGGCGCTAGCACGGATCAACAGTAGATCCGTGTGGTCATCCCCTACTGGTCAGCCTGGGAGGCCCGTCGCCGCAGTGCCGGCGCTGTAGTGTTTTCTAAGTCACGTTGGTTTCAGGTGTGTTTTTGAGTTGATACCGGACAGGAGCGATGTTGTAGAAATAAACCTAAGCAGAAGGGTTCGCATTGTTTTTGTCAGCATGAGAAAGACCAGAAGAAGCTGTCTACGTTACAATATTGTAATCACAGCTATAAAAAGTTGCATTTGCTACATCTCTCCTGGTGTCATCGTTTCTGACCAATCATTGCTATCGTACCCAGGTGCTGGTGATGAAAGATGGTCGAATCGCTCTCCAGGGAACCCCAGATGAAGTCTGGAAGGCTGATCCTGAGCTGAAGATCTCCCGCATCATGACGGCCGAGTCGGACATCTCTGAACCAGAGGAAGAGAGGAAACTGCTACAGAAAGCTGTAGAGGAACTGAAGAAAGAAGAGCAAGGAATTGGTACATTAATGGACTCCATTCAACTTGGAATGCCCCTCCTTTATCCCCAAAGAAGTCTCAAAATGAAGCATGCTAAATTGTTGCTAAGCAGAACCTCTCTGTTTACCTAATGTCATGATATCCTGATGCCTTGATGTGCTGGTGTCTCAACGTCTTGATGTCTCGATAATTTGACGTCCTGATGTCTCGATTTCTTGGTTTCAGGACATCAACATGTCACAGAATATTATTGGACATCAGCATATCTGTTAACAACAGCCATTTCTGAACCATCTGGCTGTGGCTGGCAGTAGCACGTGTGTCAATGGAAAGTGGCAACAGCTGCTTGCTAGTGGCTCCCATAGATACATATTTTACCTAGCCATAGCCAAATAAATTGGACATGGCTACTCAGCTGTCTGGATTCTTTGGATTACACGTGCCTTCGGCATTGAAGATTTAAAAACATGCTTACCAGTACTTCGATACTATTTCTGTCTTGTGCTCACGCTCAGATGGATTACATGCCCGCACACAGTAAGGGTTTCTTCACTGAAGGGAACTTTTTTCTACTTTACCCAGATGCAGAAGATGTCTGTTTGTTCACTTAATCATTAATGCTAGGAAATGACCGGGCATAACCTTTTTTTTTTCTGCTTCCAGAAGCAGAAACAGAAGGCACCTTGATGAGCAAGGAGGAGCGTGAGAAGGGCGCCATCTCTTGGCGGGTCTTCCTCTTCTACACACGGGCCATGTCGTATTTGCTGGCCCTCCTAGCTCTGTCCATCTTGCTGGCCTACAACGGCATGATGGTGGGCACCGACTTCTGGCTGTCGGCTTGGTCGGAGGCTGGAGACAGGCTGGACCTGGAGAATGCGACAGACGTAAGACAAGTCATCATCTTGTCCTTTATTAAAAGAAGTTAAGCATGGCATTGTAATGGATCGGCTGTTGGATAGATACAGAAAATATGAAATGTTGAATGGGCAGAATGTCCCGTTCCTGTGTAGCTTATCAGCCCAGTGTTCACCTCCAGTTTCCTTGTCACAGAAGGAAAGATTTTACTTTTAATACCCCCACCAAAATCAGTCCAGAACAACAAAGTGTCTAAAAATGACATCAGCCTTATCAAAGCATTTGGCACAATCTTTAATTGTGTGTGTTCTTTACATCAAGAGTCAACTGATGTTGTAGCCATTTAGCCAACGGCTTCTATTGGGGCATGCATTATCATTTACTGATAAGTGGTTTTTGATGGTAATCATTTGTGGAATAGATAGAGGTTCAGGTGACATCCGTCTTACAAAAACCACCTATTGGAGTTGGTCCAGCTAGTGCTGGCTATGCACAGGGTGGCTTCCCAGTGTTTCAGCTGAATGGCTCAGCGCGGCAGCACTCTGATATGTAAATATAAGCTCAGTGGGGTGATGGCCGTTAATATCCTGTCCTCAACAGCAAGAGGTTGGCGACACCCAGATGTACTACATTGGTGGCTACACGGGCCTTGCTATGGCCTCGGCCGTCTTGTCATTTGTCTCCACTGTCAGCTGTTTTGTGGCCGGGCTCCTGGCATCCCGCCAACTCCACAAAAGCATGCTGAACGTCATGTCCAGAGCCCCGATGCGTTTCTACGACACCACTCCAATTGGTCGCATCCTGAACCGATTCTCGAGCGACGTCCACACTGTTGATGATGTTAGTGCCAAAGTTCTTCATTTAAATTTAAAATCGTATTCTTGGGTGTCTATTCATTTTTATCTCTCTTTGAGGGGCAAATCTAATTTCATTTGAAGCTTACCCTAACGCTTTGTGCAAGATTCCTTTTTTTTGTTGACCAGCCTACAGGGATTACGCAATCTTTGGATTTTTCAGCTCCTTCCTACAGATTTCCTTTTTCTGTTCGAAGCAACATTCAAATGCTTGTCGGCCATTGTCGTCAACACCATCGTCACGCCGTTTTTCATCCTGGCAATTCTGCCCGTCGCTGTTTGTTACGTGCTGCTGCAGCACTATTACCTGAGAACCTCAAGGTCAGCTTGGTTAACATACCGTGCAGCCTTGTCATAACACGCATAAAATTCTATCTTGTCACGTGACAATGAATATGCATGACCAGTTTGCATCTGAATGGGCACAAGACAGCATGTAACAGCATTAATAACGGGAACACACCAGTCACCATTATTAATTAAAAGGCCGCCATGTGAATAATTCTGCTTAGTGAAAAAATAAATTTGCTAAGGAAAAATCTGCTGATGCAAAAGCATATTTGCATTCTTTGTAATACTTGTCAGTAACACTTGCTAAGCATGTTAGTCACCGGTGATGTGGTGGAGTATTTTTCTATGAGTACAAGTACATCTGCATGAATGCCAGTAGTTTTTACCCCACAAGTACCAGTTGCTTGCTATTTTCTCCCAGGGAGCTACAGAGGCTTGACAGCATCACCAAGTCGCCAATCTACGCCCATTTTTCAGAGACCCTGAGTGGACTTTCAACCATCCGTGCATACAAGTAAGTGTAGAGTATTGTAACATATTGTCCTAGGTCTGCATGTTCACAGACTGGATGCATGCATATATGTGTACATTCATGTGTGAAGACTGTTAAGTGGAATCTGTCGTCCTGCACATACAGAGTGAATTTTCTTTTGTTGAGTCTGTCTTTAGCGTGCACAGAGTACGCGGCATCTTCCATGGCTCTCGTGGGCTGGGGGAGTTTTCAAGTCCCGTCAAAGGTCAAATCACGAGTCGAATCTCAAGTTGGATCATCGGCAGTTAACAGGGGAAGAAAGTCACAGTTGAAGTCCCTTGTGGAATAGCCGCTGTTACAGTGGAAACTATCATCATAAGTCCAGTCGCAAGACGAGTCACAAGTCACAAAAACTGGGTAAACAATTACAGAGGAATGCGTTTGTTGCAGTTTTAAGACAGGAGGTCTTGTGTTGGTCTTGTGATGGTCTTTTGGGTTCTTGTGTTGGTCTTGTGATGGTCTTTTGGGTTCTTGTGTTGGTCTTGTGATGGTCTTTTGGGTTCTTGTGTTGGTTTTAAGAGGTCTTGGCCACATCACACTGGAAATGGCTCATTGACTTGGCCTAAAACGCAGGTGACCTCTGATGGATGTGTGGTCACTATATGTAGGCCAGACTTTGCCATATCAAGCACATGCATTCGCCCCTGCCTGGCCCCAAAAGTCATCACCTAGACTTCCCTCTCACATTTGTCTCTGTAGGGACGAGGAGCGATTCCAGAAGAATATCTTGGATGCAATTGATAGGAATGTCCTGGCAGATCTCAATCTGAATACCTGTAACCGTTGGCTGGGAGTGAGACTGGTAAGTTGGTCCTTGTGCTGGTAAGGAATGCGTCCATTCCCAAGGGTTCTCCACTGCAAAGGTACCCCAGCAGATGTTCAAAGCGTACTCACTGAAACGTTGAACATTTTGCTCACCTGTTCTGCTGTGATCCAAATCTGTTTAAACTCGGAAGCAACATCTGCATGAAGCCTTGAGGTTGAGTGGAAATCAGAAAGAATCTTGTTTTGATTTGGCATGAATAAGGAAATTATACGGTGCCGTTTTTGATTGTGTTTTGGAATTGTGAAGATACAAATAGCAGCCACAAAATCACATTTCCAAGCACCTGAAGTGAGCAGCCCAGGGGCAGATTTTGTGATGAAACCCCACTGAAAATGGTCTAGCAACCCCCTTATTCAGATTGTAATCAGAGTTTTTTAGAATAGAGTTTCCATTTTTTAGTATTGTGCAGGGCTGAGTCAATTCAAATAATTCACTATTCATATATTTGACCTTCAATTTGATCGAATATCCGAATATTCAGTCGTACCCACTGGCAGATTGATGATGAACAAAGCTACACAAAATCAATCTCATTAACATACACAATTGTACATTATAATCAATGTAATAGCTTCTCACATCTAGGAGAATCTCCAGCCATGATTTAGCAAGATTTAAGAGATTAACAATACTTCTTGCCCATTTGAAAATTTCTATTCCTTTTATATTGTTTATTGAATAATTTACTTTTTGAATCGTAAGATTTCTGTTACTTTTCATTTGAATCTGCGTGAAACAAGCCTCCATAATTTCTCTCATTTAAAACAAACGAAGATCTTTTCATGCATTTTGCATTCAAATATTCAAATTCGGAAAATAGTATTCAAAATATTCCATAATCGATTGAATATTCGGTTATTTGGATATTCGGCACAGCCCTAGTGTCGTGTTTCTTGGGATTGAGTCTTCAGTTTTGCTGCCCACTCAGTCAATCCAAATTTTGCCTCGCATTCATGGCTGAGGAGTCCGTCAATGCTAATTTGTCCGATTTCCTGACTCTCCAGGATTTCATCGGCGGCCTGATTGTTCTGCTTGCTGGTTTGACTAGCCTCACCGTTGCTGTCACCTCATCAACATTAGCACCAAGCTACGTCGGGCTAGCCCTGTCGTATGCATTGGCTGTAGGTTAAGAATTTCATTGATATTCCTTTGTTCAAATTTGTAGAAATACATGAGTCATCCTTGCTTAACTAATATTCACAAAGGAATGTTGCTAAGAGTTCCTAAAACTTCTGTCAATTTTCTTTTTTAAGGGGAATAGAGAAAGAAAGGTTTGATAAATACTTAATCTTTCTGTATTATTCTCTGTCATAGGCATCTTTTTACTTAAACTGGTTTATTCGGACTTCTGCCATGGTTGAAATGCACATGAATGCTGTGGAAAGAATCAAGTACTACTGTGAGGTTCCAACCGAACATTATAAAGGTAAATCACGTGTAACTTGTGGTAACTTATTAATGCTGCACATGAAAAGCACCCAAGATAGATATATTAGAAACAAAAGCAACAGAATTCAGTGTGGAGACTGCTGTCTTTGCAACTGAGAGCACATGAATAAAGTTGGAGGAACGATCAGGTTGCAAAGTGGTATTGCACAATAAAAAGCAAGCTCAAGTCTGTGAGCACCCATTTAAAAAGCACAGAACTAAATTGAGGACAATATGATTATAAACAAGATCAAATATGGACCAACGAAGTGTACAGACTTACAATTAACGCTTTAATGAGGTGGCTGAAATGGGCGTCGTTGTTGTTGAAAATCAAATAACTCCTGTGTAAAGTTTACAAGCCTCGGTTTCCTTGCAGGCAAACTGCCTGATCCGTCCTGGCCAGAAAAGGGGGCTGTTGCCATGGATGACATATCGGTGCGCTATGCTGAGAACCTCGACCCTGTTCTGGAGGGTTTATCACTGGACATCAAAGCTGGACAAAAGGTAGAACTATACAGGCTGATGGTTTGGACAACAGTGTTACCTATTAGTGGTGTTGGAGCTGAGTCCGTGACAAGTCCCTGCAAAGTTATTCTGTCCCAAGTTAATGTATTGGAATGAACTTTAACAGAAACATTCCTTTGTCACTATTCATCCTGTTACTTGTGACTGGTCTTGTAGAAAGGCTTTTGATGGACTCGACTTCAACATTGCTGTTAAGTGTTTGAGCTTCAAGGTTACACATGCCAACTCCAAACATTTTGGAGTACATCTTTGATTTTTGATACATGCTCCTGCGCAAACTGTAATAAATACCTAGCTGTGTTGGGACTTACTTATTTTATGCCCCTTGCCTTGGATTTGGCCAGTGGCCTTTTGTGATTTATTGCGGTAATGACAGACAGTGGTTCTCATTGTAGGCTTGATGTATTGATGAAGATGGCAGGTCAAAGAACTTTGATGGGAAATGGGTGACGGTGGTGTTAATAATCTTTACGGTTGAATAACAATGACAAGTTTTTAACATGTTCACTGTCTGAATCTTACAAGCCAAGTAAAGCTCACTGGTGAAAAATTCTAACGTTTGCCTTCAGATTGGCATATGCGGCCGAACAGGCAGTGGAAAATCCTCACTCACTCTGGCCTTGTTTAGAATCGTAGATACGTTCAAAGGTAAGCTGCATTGTGAATTTTTCCCCTTTCAAAAGAACGCTTAGCCCTAACCCTATCCGATACCTATGGTGGCCCTGGAGGGACATAAATATTCACAGCATGTGTTCTCCGAGTATAATCATAACACAGTCAGAACCCCTTTGCACAATAACGTATAACCCTAACTGTCAAAGGTGTGAACAATGAGTCAGTTCCGTCTGTCAAAAAGGGAATGTCACTCGAGAGCAAAGCTTGTGAGCGTGAACATGTTCTGTGTATGTGAGCAGGCATATGGCCACGCTGATTAGGCCAACCTCAAGTAGGGCTGTTCCTTCACTCTAGATCTGTGCTGTTGGAATACCAAACTGGCTTGTTATATGGAAGTTTAGATCAAGGAATGCTGAGGTAAATTCCAAATTGTAGCCGAGCTGTAAAGTGTGTTGTTGGCAGCACCGTAGTTTGATTTGTGCTCGGAATTTTGATGGCATAGAATATAGTGGCATTTAGTTCCGACGTTTCTCATTGCCTGTTGTCCAGGCAAAATTGTGATTGACAGCGTGGACATTGCATCCTTGCCGCTGGATCATCTCCGACAGAAACTGTCCATCATTCCTCAGGATCCCATCCTCTTCACTGGCACAATCAGGTGGGTGGAGGTTAGGAGTAGGACATGTTGAACAGGCTCAACTAAGCTCTGAAAAGTTACGCTGATGTCTTGTACTCTTGAATTTTATTTTTACCTTTACCCATTCACCTTGGAATTCCTCGGACTTTTCACACAGTTTAAAGAGCCGTTTTCCTGAAAAACATGTCATTGTATGTGGAAAACATTTTGGGGTTGGTTTTTAAAATTCACAAATAGTTCTCTCAAAATTGTACGTTCGAAAAATTTGTCATCTCCTTTGCCATTTTTCTTAACCCCAGCCAGAATTTCCACTAGCTTGAGAGTGTGCCTGTTACTGTTCTAAAAACTCATCTTTTTCATGAAGCTTTTTCCAACACCTGATTTTCATCTCTGCTAGGTATTGTTATGCGCAGTCGAGTATAGTTGTATAGTATCTGTGCAATGAAACTGTTCCTTTTTATTATTATTATTAATGTGGTACATTTCAGTGGCTGTAGAAAATCTCAAGTAAGTTCTTATTTTTCTGGTTAATCGTCCTTTTTCACTTAACCATACTCACAAATTGAAAACACAGTCCAGTTTGTAAATAAGATGTCATTGCTCCTTAAACCATGCCAATTTCCACGGTGTGGCATGCAACCGTTGAAAATTGATGAAGTGCAAAGTTGGCTTATTAGCCACGCCATTGGTTGCTCTCATCAGTCAGTAGAGCTCATACCTACATAAGGCAGTCTCTAACGAACCGGATTGGATCCTGGGTGCCAGACTTGATCAACATCTGACATCCAGTAGATGACTGTGACTGACACAAATGGCCTTTTTGAGTGTGCGTTTAGGGTTTGACACTTTTGAAGCTGAGCTGGGCAATGTCACAGTAGATTCTAAGCGCTGTTGGTGTTCACCATACAGGTTCAATTTGGACCCACTGGGTCAGTGCAGCGAGGAGGAGCTGTGGAATGCCCTGGAGATAGCACAGCTCAAGGCTACGGTGTCTGAGATAGGCCAAGGATTAGGTGAGTCCTACCTGGGTCTGAGGCAATGCTTGATAGATATTAAGAGTTGACTATATCCATCTCAATGGAATGAGGTATTCATTTGTTACTTTAATGGCATGACAGTGACAAAGTATTTGAGGAAACAGAGTTGTAAAGTGCTGTTAGTATTAACATACAAAAAGAAAAGCACATGGGAATTTTTCTGAGAAACCGAAACTTAATTATTCATAAAAGAATGGCATGACAGTGACAAAGTATTTGAGGAAACAAACAAATTGCTGTTTGTAGTAACACACTAAAACTGCACACAAAAGATGTCCAAAACATGTCAAACTGGTAAATGAACTTGTTTGAACAGAGTTAAATTCCCACAGTTACTAACTGAAGGCCATCATGTGTGCAATATCATTTAGAAAGACCAAAAGTCAATCAGAGATGTCAGCTCCTGCAGAAATTGTGAGAAATTCTGCGTAGGTCAAACACTGTTTGGAATGAGTAAATCAGGGAAGCCTTGGTAGCAAGAAAACTTTTCTGGTGGTTCTGAATTGCCACAGAGTCCCAGGTCTCAGAAGGGGGTGAGAACTTCAGTGTGGGCCAACGCCAGTTGTTTTGCCTGGCCCGGGCCGTCCTGCGGAAGTCACGCATCCTCATTATGGATGAGGCGACAGCATCCATCGACATGGAAACGGTAGGTTATTAGGTGACAGGCAGGCACTCTCATACTTTGAACCTATACACGACATCAGCTTTTCTCCAAGGGACATTATTTCCTGTTGAGGTCAATTTCTCTATTTTCAATCAAGATTCCCCCTCCCTATCCTTGCAGGATAACATTGTCCAGAAAGTCGTGGCTGAGGAGTTCAAGGATCAAACGATACTTTCTATAGCTGTGAGTACCACAAAATGTATAGCGTCAGTTTGAATGTGCTTTTGCTAATGTTGCTCTTGTCTGGGGGTACCAGTGATCATTTGCCATGTGAAAAAATGCCTTGCCCATAGTACAGCTGCATAGTTGGTAGAAATAATAATTGGGTTGACTCCTCAGTGCCTAGCCAAACCTTGAATGGTCACTTGTTGATTGTAACCACAATTTATGCATTGTGAATAAATAAGTTACAATTCTGCATTGTTTTCAAGGTTGCAGCGAGACCACAAAATCACCATCTTGCTCCTTCCCCAACAATGCTTTATATCCTCCAGATTTATAGAATTGTAATTTTTGCAGCAATTTTGCAAAATTGTTCACAACCTTTCTAAATTTCCCGAAAATCAGGTTATGTCTCTTCAAAGACTGATACAGGAATCACATACCTTGCAGGACAAATCTTGTACGTCTTGCTCAGTAGATAAATCCGGGCACTTAATAAATCTACACTCAGTGAAGCCTCTTTATAATGGCAGAACAATGGCTTTTAATTGTTCCCGCCCACCCCGAAAAGACAAAGATCCTTTCTTTGTGCTGCAGCTGGCACAATGGTTACGCCATTAGTCGGGGCCTTTCTGAGGTACATGGACCATAATTTCCAGGGTGTTATCTTCATATTTGTATACAGCACCGAGTGACGACCATACTGAATGCAGACCGCATCCTGGTACTCAACGAGGGCGCTGTAGCTGAGTACGACTCGCCTGAGAACCTCCTGGCTCGAGAGGACAGCTTGTTTACGTCGCTCGTCAGCAGTGCTCACCAGTAATGCGAGCTGTTCAGTAGGGAACTTGCAGTGTGTTGCTGGCTTTCTGAAACTGACAAAGCAGTGTTAATCAATTTCTCTGTTTTGTGCACGGCGTGCCTGTGGCAGCCTGGCGAGGGGTAAGGGGTTATCTGAGGTTTCGTTGCCACTTGGACTTGTGAGTTCTTGGGGAGTAACGTTTGTATTTTAATGCTGAAATATGCTCTTCCAAAACTGCGTCCAACGGTAATACAAAAATTTCTGATAAAATTTCTTGATGACAACAGCCATTACTGAGACCCAAGTTAGTGGGGGTGTCACATTTACTAAACGGATCCAGTAATTAGCTCCATACCTCATGCACATGGGCAAAATTTGTTTCTCATCGACGCATTACTTTCAAGCCGCACATGTCACTTGCAGGTGCAAGTAACTCCAGCATTTTTGGCTGTAATGGGTCAGTACAGCATGGAACGAGGGCAGCAGTCTGTTGATGCTAGTCTGAGATACATGTACTTTGAATCTTGTGGGTCGCTGTTTTCAGAGTGGCACCCTTGATGGCTGTGGAAGGGATGAGTGTAGTAGTAATGAAGTCCTTTTAGCCTCAAACGAGATGTTTATATTTTGAAATTTAAAAATCAAGTTGTTTTTCCAACCTTACTCACCGATTATTTAACCAAAGTTTCCTGCAATAGTGTTTATTGTGCTGAAATTTTATACTTAATATCCTTATGGTACTAACAGAGCTCAGCGTTATAATTAAGGGATGATTGTTTTTATTGTTCATTACCCACGGTATTCATCAATTTTGTTCAAAAAATATTTGCATGGGCTTTTGTGAAAACTATTGAAAAAGCTGATATCAAGATTTATTTGATACATGTTGTAACCAAATATATTTAAAGAAATCGTTACAAAAGACATTTATCATAAACTAAATCCAGCAATATAACATTCTGCTGAAACAAAAGTTAATGGCGTACTCATGATTTTTTGGATCGTGTGCAATAATATTGAAGTTGTGAAAGTTTCAGGAAATGCAAAAATAACACAATTGAAATTTCAATCTATGTGTTCCCTGTGTGTTTATTTTAGGTTTAGAAGTGAAGTAAGTTAACATTGTTGGAATTTTGCGTCATTTAAAATCATGTTTTATGCATTTCTGAAGTCAAGATGAAAAAGTAGGAGCAGCCTGCAGTAATTTCCATGATAACCCTTCAATTTTAGGCACTTTGCCCCTCAGATGAAAAACTGAGGCCAAACGTCTGATCTTATAAACATGTACAGAGGTATTTCTGAATTTCGAGAATTGCATTGGTAGCTATCACGGGCGCCGTTGCCTAGATTTTTTTCCTACCTCCGTGATTTTTTCCAAGGAGAGGAAGAACTTTACTAAATGATGAAGGGGGGGGGGGCATTCATCAGGTCTACGTTTTTATTGCCAGTCTCGAGAAGGGTCTAGTATTCATATGCCTCGTGGAAGCTTACCAAGTTGAAAATGTCGTAAGAAGTGTATGTCAATTTCCTTTGAGGAAAAACCGCGCAATTATCGCCTTAATTCAAGTCGAATTGCCTCAGCTTGTCTACCCCCAAACGCCCCAACTTGCACTAAGTGCGCCCCCATGCGGTATGTTTTGCTCGTCTGGCCGGCCGAGCACCCGAAGCTCCATAATCCAACATGGCAGAATGGCTTCTCGATCTAGCGCAACATCTGCCGACGCTTCGCAGGAGGAATACTCCGAACTGGAGGATGAAATCTTCCTCCCTTACCTGGAAAAGGTGAGACCGAATCCTCCCGGAGACCCAGGCCGCTCAGCCAGTGCCTCCGAGTGGGAGGAATTACCGCTTGAATCCGAACCAAATCTCAAAACAGTCGACCATATTGACTCGACATCAACTTCGCTTAATAACGTGCTGAGATCCAACCATGTCAGCCGGGCGCAGGCTGCGGGGTTGGACGGCAGCGACTCCGAGCCGGTCCCGCACGCGCTCGATGGAGTCGGGACCGGTGGGGTGAACACAAGGGTCCGGGTAAGCACCCTTTCCCTCGACAGCCGAGAAAGTGACAACAGCGAGTCTCCCAACAGCCCAACAAAGGGTGGACCATTGCGTCGAGACTCCTCCATTTTGGACGGTCTACTTTGTGAGATTTACGACAGATGTCAGTTGAACTCAAGATATAGCATCGATAGTGATGGTTTCACAGAGTACTCAAGTAACTCAGAAGGAGCATATCTCAGTAGCAAGGGAGACAGTTTTCAGGAGTCGACTCGACTGCCGAAGGCACTTCTGAATGCCAAAGGTAAAACTGCCGTAGGCCTAGTTCTTTTTGAGCACAAATTTGGAACTTGTGTTGTGTTTTTAATAGTTCATAGGCCTATCTCTTCCACAGTATTTGAATTTTGTAAACAACAAGCTGTAGAAAGAGTCCTGAATCTTGCCCTGAAACACAGTTCTTAAGTTTGTTAAAAGTATTGTGTGACTTCAAAACAATTTTTTCTTCCTACAGTTTCAGTTTTTCCTGCATTTGAAAGGGTTCGATGAAAATACAAGATCAGGTAAAATTTGTTTCATATGTCATGTTACGGCCAGATATGGAACTTGTGCTCAAGCATTGAAAATAAAACTCGAAAATATAGAGTCCCAAATTCTTTGACTACTGAAGATTTGCCAAAGGAGCAAGGCTGAATTGGAAACATAATTTGCAAACAAATTTGTAAATTTGTATCAAGTGACATTAAAAGTACAGGTACCATGTAGGACTTCACTTGTGGTGCTTAGAACAGGTAGATGCAATCTACATACCTTGTACCGGTATGTGGGAATGCTTTTTTACTTGGGATGTTTCTGACATTCTGAACAACCTTAGACATCACCAGGATCTTTTCCAGGTGGAAGCAACCCTCTCACCAACAGGAAACTGACAAAACCTGAACAATGGAAGGGAGGGTCATTTCCAAGTTGCTCTTAAATAAACAAATTTGTAACTTTTACAGTCTTTGTTTTTTGTCATTACATTCGCTTTTTCTTTTCTAAATTCTCTTTCCTTATTTTGCAGTTTCTTTTCCAACAAGGGGGCTTTCCTGTGAATTTCTCGTAATTTCTCACATTTTCTCGTAATGGACAGGTTGACAGCTTATATAAAAAAAAGATACAGCTTTCCTTCGCTCAAATCTGTGAAACTCTCAAAATGTACACGCGCATGTACATGTAGTATTGTTCAGTCCATTTGATGGTCATATCGCCAGTCCAGTGGTTTAGATGGTGCTCTATGTACCCAGAACAATGAGCCTGCTGTTGTTTTAGTACACGTTCTCCTATACATGTTTCTATCTCAACACACGTTTTTATTACCACCTGTCACTCTCAATCAGCCTCCTTTGACATGCTGTTTGCCAAAAAAAAAATCTGCACAGATGCCACAGCTGTTACGTGGCATTGGGCTTTTGTATTAAGTTTTAGCAACCCACGCATTTTGTTATTTGAAGCTTGTGCGTGCTGTGGACTTTACACGCATTGGCATACAGGTAATTAACCTTACCAGTATACATGTAGCTTCCATGGTATTTTTCCTATGAAATCTTTCACCGTATAGAAACCCAGTGGCAGGTTCTTTTTACTTTCAACACCTGGACTGCACTGTAAGTAAATGTGGTTGAGCTCTGTGGTACATGTATCCCCTTAAATAATCCAGCAAGATACTCAAAAACTCACAGGTCAGTGTATTTTGAAGGGTCTGGGTGGATCAGGGTTAAATGCATACACTTCGCCAACGCTCATTGCTGGCACTCGGGTGGGGGAACATTTTCAGGCAGAGTGCTGAAGATACTGCATAGTTCATGCACATTCTGCAGAGAACCTGCCGTAACCAGTGACAGACCAGCGCCAGACCGGCACCTGCACATCCATTAAATTAGAATCCTGCAGAAATCCAACAACCGCTTGAATTTTACTTCCTGCTGCAACAAATGTTGTGGCATACATCAGGGTTTCCCTGGTGGCCCAAACTTTGGGGGACAAAATCAAAGTGCCAGCAGCAAACATGAGTGTTGCTGATGGTGCCAACAGAGCCTAAGATAAGTTTCACATGCTCATGTGGATGTGGTACATAAAACAGTTCACTTTAAGTCAATTTCTCAAAATGGTAAATCTAGTAAAACAGTTTAAAGGTGAACCACGTGTACATGTATTCCCCCAAAATGTTGGGACTTCTATTAATTTTTTTTTTCACTTTGTCCTTTAAAGAGTGAGGTGGTACTGTTGCCCAAAACAGACTAATATTGTCACTGAATCTGCCTCACATTTTGAATGGAGGCCTTGCATGGTAGCCATCTTGTAGGGTAGTTCCATTGTTCCATAGGAAAACCTCTGTTACATATAACCTGTGGAAAAACAGAGCTGGCCTACAAGATGGCAGCTTTGTAAACCCTCTATGGACAGGAAAACCCTGGCATATGAACTGTATAGTACCAGTACATACATGTACATGTACCAGTATGCTGTATGCCTCCGTTCCGATAATTACAGTGGGGTGGGCAAACATGTACTTGTGCCTGCATTTTTCTCTTTCTTGTACTCTGTACATGTTTTTTGTACCAGTACAGTTCCTTGATTATTGACACCGTACAGTCCTTGATAAATTGGCTTTTTAATTACTGGTTTTTTTTTTTAACACGTGGGTTTGTGATTGGCAGTTTGACGATATTCCGCATAAAGATAATATACATGTACAATACCAGCACATATTGAATTAAAAAAAAAGAAGGAACTGAATGAGAAGGTATCATGCTTTGGCATGGGAAAAGACTTAGTGAATCACCTGGGCCTCCACGTATAATGACGATAAAGTTAACAGTTTTACCTACTGGTACAGGTACATGTAGGACTCCCGAAAGCAAAATTTGTCGGCACAAAGAAAAAAGACTGAAGTAATGTACATTTGATGGTGTTGGCAAATTCTTTCAGTCCCTTGTAACTACAACATTTGCTGTATTATGTACATGTAGGACTGTTGGTTCATAGTACATGTATGGTTACATTAATTGCATAATAATATTTTGGATGTCAGCTGGTACTCTCTCATGGGTTCCCAGTGTTATCTTAAGCTTATATGTACAAATATGTACTTGTAATAACTGGTACTCTCTCACAGGTTCCCAGTGTTGTCTTAAGTTTATATGTACAAATACATGTATGTACTTGTAATACCGGTAGCTGGTACTCTCTCACAGGTTCCCAGTGTTATCTTAAGTTTACATGTTCAAATATGTACATGTACAGTGTACTTGTAATAGCTGGTACTCTCTCACAGGTTCCCATTGTTATCTTAAGTTTACATGTACAAATATGTACATCTAATTTACCTGTGTTTACAGCATTCTTCTTATTGACAGACTGACTGTGGATTTTTGTTACAAATGATCAACTTATCAAATGTTATGCAATGGTTACAGTGTGCATTGCATTACATGTAGTGATACCTGGTACCTGAATATTTTTGAATAAATGTACAGATACATGTACATGTGCATGTAGGTAACATGGCGCTCTGTTTATAAATGTGCACTTTCCAGTAGCAGTGAGGTATGACATGATCCATCGAGCCCCCCTAGGAAAGGGCACGTGTGAACAAAGCTTAATGTCATTGTGCTTTACGTCTATCGTCATGGGGTTCCCAAAGCAAATGCTATTCTGTATGTACCGTATGTATTGTACATGTATGTAGCTGAAGCCCAGATATAACTTACAGAGGGATTCGTGTTCGGAGGTGTGTGGGTGTGCACTATTGACAAGTTTTCTCATTCAGCTGTCGTTTGTAAACAGGCATTCCCGCATTTTTCTTCCAGGCGAGTTTTGACCATGAAAGTGTTATTTTGTGACTACATCGGCATGTATCCACAGGAAAACAGCAAACCACTGCAAGTTTGCTCTGACCATCAGGGAAATATGCAAATTTTACAATATGGCTGGTGTGGACATGTGCGGACAAGAGACTGAGGTCTTGGTACATGTACCACTCGGCTCCTTGGCACTGTGTATTTAGCAAACAAACATGCAGACAGCTAACACTGGGATGTACATTGTACATGTACACTGTACACCGGTGTTAGATCACACAATGCAGATTTTATACATCATCAATAATGTATTTCCAGCATGTGTTTTGGTCAGCATCTCTGTGCAGCCAGATTAATGGATCGTATAGTATGAGGATTTTCATTGTATTAATTAATGAATAATGGTGCAGAGTCGTACAGTTGTTTCATCCAAGAAATGGGTCCAATAAGCACTTTGCGAATTAAATTTGAATAAAATCTGGTACACTGAGTTCTTTGAATTCACATGAACAAAACAATTTGAATGCTCCCTGTTAAAGTCACTTGCTATACCTCTTGATTGGGGCAAGCTTTTGCGTCAAAGTTAACAGATGCCATGCAGCAATACACTGTTTTCAGCAGATAAGAAGGGCTCAAAGGAACTAGTCCCTGGAAATTTCCAGAGATGGTGGTTGCTAGGCAAAAGCTTGCCCGAATCACCAGGCACATGTATAGCAACAGTGTCTTTAGTCTGGGGAATTCAAATTGTTGTGTTGATGTGCAATCAGATAACTGAGTGTACCAGATTGTATTCAACTTTTAATTGCGAAAAGGCTTATTAGAGTAGTACACCCTTACATTAGGGTACATACATGTACTATGTGTAGTGTTTTTTAGCTGGTACATGTACATACATGTACATTAGTGCTAACCTACATGTCAGTCTGCTGGTAAACCATTCTCTCGCAAGTATATTCTGTATGGTACATTGCAACCTGGTTTGGGTTGTACTAAGCATTCTACCTCCATGTACTAAGCAACTTTTGTTGTCATGCTTAGGGCCTACTCCCAAATCCCGGTGTGCATTGACCACTGACAAAATCTGACCCCAGATTGATGTCCTCTAGTGTTTCGTCAGCCACCCCCTCACTTTCCAGACTGGTGATCCGATGGAATGCTGGGGTCATTGGAGGGGGGCCAAATCACTTTTGAACTGAACAAAATCCCTGCCTTAGTGACCCCTCAATTCCAGATTGGCCTCTTTTGTAGGTCTAATCCCTTTGGCTAAACAAGTCTGGGCTTTTTTTCTGTGGCTGATGGGGGGGGGATACATGTATCTGTTCCCCTTCCGTTTGAAAAGTCCTGAATGTGTGGGCGCTGAATGGGTGTATAGGCCCTAATTAAAAACTTTAGGTAAGTGCAGCCACCCTGTAGTGAGTTGGCACTGGGAACGTGGTCCAGGTTGGTGTCTGAAAGGTGCAGTGTAGAAAAGGTGGGAACGGGGATTGCCGATTTGGTCTGGGAAGAAAATGGCCAGGAGTGATTCTTCAGCCAGTGACGAGAGTGTGGTTGTTGACCAAGGTAATGTTGTACATGTAGATGTGACCCTGGTCATTTTCTGAGTAAATGAGATCGTGAGCCATCCTTGAAGAGAGATGTTGCACACTACATGTACATGTACGTATCTTCATGATGAGCTGACATTGAGAGATTCCCTACCATTCTTGAAGTGTCCTTTCTTTCAGTGGGAGTGGAGCAGTGCCTGGTATTTTGAGAGAAGGCAATGCAGACTGGCAGCAACCTGGGTTGAAATGGTAGTATATACATGTAGGTTAGCCGATATATTCCATCCAGCACCAGGGGACCAGGGGACCACTTGCTGCTGCTCTTAAGTTTTCCCTGGTTTCTTTCTGTTGTTATCCCATCCACCACTGAGCTGTGATTATCAGGCCATTGTACACGTACTGTGAATCAAGCTCAAATAAGCTGCCCTGGTAGGCTCAACTTGAGAGGAATAAACTTCAACAAATCACTCTCCGTCTCCCATCTCTTGTTACCTGGCTCGCCGGGTTGACTTGTTGACAATCAAGATTGTCAAACTCATGACCTAAGTTTTTAGAAACCTTTGCTCATGGCAGTCTCTTCAAGTGAACTGTGTGCCTACATTTACGCATGTTGCTTCAGACTTTTCACTCGCAAGCCTCAGTTCTTTGTAAAGTGGGTCATACATGTATGCTTGGAGTAATAAAATTTACTTTGATGAGAGCATGGAGGAAGGAATGTGAGGAGGGTTGCACTTACCACACACATGTACATACTACATGTATAAAAAGTAGGCAGGTTGGATACAAGGACTGTACATGTAGATGTAGCTTAGATGTATTTAGTGCACTATAGTACACGTACATGTACATGTACATATCAGCATGCACAGTATTGATTGTAAAGGCGTTTGGACTGGCCACGGTCTCTTACATGTACATGTATGTCACTTTATGTGTACAGCTTCATGTACTTGTACTGTACTTATATGTACATAACATGTGTACCTATCAAATGACACTGCATGGATTCAGCATGTGGTCATTTGGGACCAGTTGAATATGTTTGCCATTGAATGTGTAGAATAATACTGTACATGTACAATGTACATGCACTGCCACTTTGCAGAGGCAAACAATGGATACAGTTTCAATGATGGTTTCTGACGACCCCATTGGCCCCATTGACTGATCGAGAGTGGAGCAAAGATATACAGAAATGGTAGTTTTTGTGTCCTCTTGTGACTGGTTTTTTGTAAGATCAAATCTCAAATGAACTGTGGATTTCTGAATTTATTTGAGCTTACCCTGGTCCCTGAGAAAGGTGACTGTAAAGCACACACATCATGTATTGATGATACTTTCTATGCCCTCCTCTAGGTATCAGCGAGCTACAAGATATGGTGAAAGACTTACAGCACAGCGTGGCCGTGCTGTCAGGTCGGCTGATCAAGCAGCTGAAGCGACGAGACCGCTACATCGCCAAGCTCAACAAGAACCAGGACGTTTTGACCGCCGTGCTACAGGCGGTGTCGCAGAAGAGACGTAAGGAACCATTGAAATGACTTGCCCATACCACCCTGCCACTCACCACAGTCTCGATCCCTGGATTCTTAAAGGGGCCATATTGAAATGTACATCTACATGCTCTCTGGGACTTGCAGATCCTGTGAAAAAATATCTTTTTCTGTTTTTAATGCAGAGTGTCAGTCTTGTCCCATGTTAGACAGTTTAGTGTTTTATCAACACATTCACGTAGCGGAGGTGCCTTGAATACACATTGGGATATAATTAGTGTGCACTATGCAGTGGCAAGATTGGCCATTGCAGCTGTCTGTTGGCTCCTAAGCACTGAAGATATTTGTGCTACATGTAGGATGACGTCAAGAATTTTAATTACAAATCACTGGAATGCTGAACTGGTTAATTTTGTTCATAATCACAATCATTTTTTGGGTTATTTTTCCCCTACCTCCTGAGACCTGTCTTTTGTTCGCTAATGAATTACCTTTTAGAGTCTGTAAGCCACAATGCCAAGTTGCTGTTGGATTGTCAATTCTCAAATTCTTCACGAGCAGCCCTTTTTTTCCTTTCTTGTGGAGAATTGCCTGATGGTACGTTCTTGGTACAGCACATACCTCAGCATCTACGTCTGGTAATAGTACTTGTACCCTCGTAGGTACACGTATAGCCTCAAGATGAGCCAACCTTATCGCGCAGACAAATCAGATTTCCCCTGATTGATACAGCAGTGAATTTTGAATCCATTGGTTTTTTTTTTGCAGGTGTGGACGCAAGGCTCAAATTCAGCATTGAACCACTGCCTGGAAAGAAGGCATTTCGTCAGGTACATGCTCATGAACATTGCCATTTAAAAGTCAACACAAAATTGCAAGCTTTTAGTCTCAAGAAGAAAATTGATGATTATTTTTTTCCTGGTTATTGAGGAGGGAGGAGACTGGAGAGCTGGGTTGGATTTACATTTGTAAGCAGATGTGATGAAGAGTTCTCGTGAAGTTTTGAAATTCTAACTTACATTGTACTTGTGCATTCTCCATACTCCAGCCCCAATTCACATGGTCAGGTTGAGACTCATTGCCTTGGGTTTACAGTAATTCTATCAGATGTCTACATTTTATCAAATGGCTGTTATCGTAGAAACCCTTCATGATTTACCCAACCAGGTTTGTAGGAGTTTTTGAAGCTTGGTAAATGAATGCATGAATCATGAATGTGTCAAGTAGTGGATGCTGCCATGACCAATTTATGTTCACCTCACGGAACATTCCAAGCTGCATTGATGAATAAGAGCCTTTTTGACCTCTTTTCATAAGGAGGACCCTTTTAGTTATGGACGGATGATTTCATCACGCTTGAGACACAGACAAGCCCAGGGTATGCAAGAGCAGTCCAGGGCAGAACACAGTTAGTGTTTCGTCTCCCTCCTTTCTTCCGCCCCCCCCATTCTAATTCCACCTGCCTTTCATGCTTGGTTCAGTGGTACGATGCTCTGCGGGCAGTGGGCCGCCTCCCCAAGGGCCTCCCCCAGGAGTTCCGCAAATCAGTCTGGCTCAGCCTGGCCAACCGCCACATCAAGCACCTCAAGCTGGACTGGCCCAAGACTGTCAAGTTCACCTTCAACGACCGGAGCAACCCAGACGACGACACGTTGGGTGTCCAGATCGTCAAGGTGAGTGGAATCCAAGATGATGCGCTGGAGCGGAAGCAGGTGACATTTGTGCTTAGCTAGCAATTATGGCATGTGCATATAGATGGGAATTGAATACAGGTGCATGTACATGTATTATTATTACCCGCCATAGTTAAATGGCACGAACACATCCTTGCATGTAGTGTTGTCCTGCAGCTAACCCTCTGGGATATGAAGAATGTTATAACCTTAACTGTCTCAGATCTATTCTATTATGTCTCAGATCCTTCAAATCTATCAAGAGTTTTTGAAGGTATATGTAGGATTCAGGCAGGCAGAGCCAAGCTGGTATTACTTTACACAGGGCCTGATGTCATTTAAGTTGAAGTATAAAGAATGTGCATTGTACAATTGGGTTCTTAATCTGTGAAGGTATATCTGTTAAAGGAGAAGGGAAGGCTGCTTGCAATTACGTGTAGGGATTTAGGATAATCATAAATGTCCAAGTAACATTACAACAACAGTTCCTTCTTCTGAAAGAAAATTGCTCAAAAACTTCAAATAGCCCCCCAAATTAAAACTTTACAAATGCGGGGAGAAAAGGGATAACCGTTTGAGTTTTTACATGTCAAATACATTGATTTGTGCCAAAATATGTGAAGCCTTTGCTGCAGGCATTTTTTGATGCTGTACACAAAAGTGTTTGTTTTCCTGCAGGATTTGCATCGTACAGGTTGCAGCGGGTTCTGCGGGCAGGACGCCGAGGATGACAGGGTGGTCCTGAAACGGGTCCTGTTGGCCTACGCCCGCTGGAACAAATCCGTCGGCTACTGCCAAGGCTTCAATGTCCTGGCGGCATTGATCCTGGAGGTCATGGAACGCGTGGAAGACGACGCGCTAAAGGTACATGTAGGGGCAGCAACCCCCCCTCCCCGTCTTGCCAAATCTACTATCCCCCTCTCCCCAAATTGGCCAATTTGACAAAATGACTCACAGGCTGCCAGAACTATTTTTGAATTACAGACCCTAAATAGGTGGAGATTGAAGAGAATGGATCTATTCAAGAATCCTACCCCTGTGGTCGTTTGACCAATCATTTGTATCTGACATGAATAAACGATAGTTTGACATGGCTACAATATATGGCATTAGGGAGAACACGCATTACTTGCCTATGGTAATTAGTACTGGATTAGTCCTATCGTCACTGCTTTCTTTCCACATAATATTCGTATTTGTTTGGATGCCAAACCTTGTGATATACTGTACATAAAAGTGGACAGATTAGACTTTGCCAGCAAGCACACCGTGGATTGCGCTGTCGCTTGAACTCATATTTTGACTTATGCAAATGCCATCAACATTATGTTCATATCACAAACCAAGTTTGTAAAACTTGTATGTTTGTATCACCAGAATTCCCATTTTGGGATGAAAAAAAACAAACCACTTCTTCCATATTCCATAAAGATTGAACAGACTGCTTTGGAGTTGAAAAATGTTCGTGTTCGATTGATTTATATGGAAATGCCATGTAATTTTTGAAAATGTCAACACTGAGAATCATCCCCACCCAAAAATGCTGCTTGAAAAAAAAAAAAATCCACCCACGTTGTTACTGACATTTGAACAAATTTCTACAGGTGCACATTTTGCAAGCAGCAGATATTGATCAATAATTATAATCAATGATAAATGCAGAAGTGCTCGACGCTTGTGCATACACGTACTTGTATACCTGGGTGAATACACTGTTATCCCTAACAGTAGTGCTGTAAGTAGGTACATACAGCGTATATGGTGTGTGGGTGTCTTATGGACACCATGTCATCCATATTTGGCACCCAGTTTTTTCATACTACTAATGTTTGTAGAGAAATACTGATTTTCAGTAATTTGGACACCTCGACTTTCACTTCCTGACATATTCTGACATTTTTGAGGCCCTCCCTAACGACTTTGATTATTTGCGACCGATGTTGCCACCTCACTCTCTCCTTGCTTATCCTCAGGTGATGATATTCCTGATTGACCATGTTCTACCGGACAGCTATTTTGCCAACAACTTGAGGGCGCTGTCCGTAGACATGGCAGTGTTCCGGGAGCTGTTGCATTTCAAGCTTCCCGAATTGGCCCAGCACCTTGACAAGCTCCAGAAGACAACCAATGATGGTAAGAGCTGAGAAAAGAACTCGGAGTACTTCTCTGTCGCAACTGTATGAGAATAAAAGTTTCCACAGCTTTGTACTTTGCTGGAGTTGTTTCCTTCTGTTTTGTATTCTTTTTTAAGTAAATGGCAGCCACTTGGTGAGAAAACTTGCTGTGTGGTCTGCCAGGAAGAGTTGCCGTGTAGTTCATGATGTGCAGAAAAATCTACAAACTGCAATTTTTGTGCCTAACTTGACACATCAGTTAGATAAAGCTGTTAGCTGTCAGGAAAATGTGAGGGCTTCGCAAATAAGTTTTCCCTTTAAATACTTGCGGTCAGTTCACAAACTAGGCTTTTTACAATTTAAAGTCCATTTCACGGCACCTTGTACATGTACACTTAATCATCTGGGGTACTTGGGCAAGAAGCTCAAATCAAAGAAACCTGCTTTGAGTGTGAGATGATCCAACAAGGCAACTTTCATAAGTCCAAACTGAGCCAGGGGTTGCCTGTCTCTTTTGGCATTTTTCGAGGGGACTAGCTCCCACTGTCGCAGAATTGGCCAGCTCATGCTACTGCTGTCAACTGCCAAGTACATCAAGGTCTCACAGACTTCAACACCCATTGCAACTTATTGCCTCTAGCAGGGGTGTGAAAATTCAGCTTTTTAGCCGATTTCGGCTTTTTTTTTGCTCAGATGTTGACCAGATGTTGACTGTTTTGTGCACCTGCTGTGTACAAACGTATGGGAACTTCTTACATTCCAGCTTTTTGCTAGCTGTTTTCAGCTTTAATTTCAAGTGGCCACTCACACACCTGCTGTAGCAGGATCAGGGTTTAACATGAACCTTTCTCCATCCCTTTACCCTACTCCCACAGGTAGCTACGAGCCCCCGCTCACCAACGTCTTCACCATGCAGTGGTTCCTGACCCTTTTTGCCACCTGTCTTCCCAAGCCACTGGTCCTACGGGTCTGGGACAGCATCTTCCTGGAGGGCTCGGAGATCCTGCTTCGCGTTGCCCTAGCCATCTGGGCCAAGCTGGCCGAGTGAGTGCCCTGCCAGCCTAATTATGGCTTTGCCTCTGTCTCACACTTGCAGGCCAGTGTTGTTCAAACTGAAAAGAAATCATTCAGTTCGTGGGTGGATCACTCACAGTTCGATTCTCCTCTGGAGAAAATTTGGCTTTATACCGAGTTAAAAACTTAAAAACTTCAAAGCCAGCGAAGGGGATGGGGATTGAAAGTCAGTTGAAGCTGGAGACAGGAATGATGCCGAGATTTCAGAAACCCCTTAATTCATTTCTAGCCAAGCTGTGCACAGCTGCCAAGGGTACTGTGCTGCTAAACCACAGTTTGTGGTCAATAATAAAAACCAATTTCCTCCAGAGTAATATCCATCGATACGTAAAAATAAACGTATGATCTCACTCTTATATATTCCTGTGAAGATCAAATTTTAAAACTGGGTTGTTTTGATGGCCTCCCACTCCAATGTTTTGGAACTTAAAAGGTGTCAAGAATCCTCACCCTAAAATAAATGACTGAACAGATTAAAGCTGGGCGTCCCAAATTGCTTAATCCAAAATATTTGCCCTCCTACCTCTCCTCATCTGAAACGCATGAATTGATTAACGAGATTCCCGCTGTCCCTATCAATAGTGATGCATGCAAAAAAAAGACAGACATTGCTGTGGTTAACCATATGCTGCCGGGGAGTCAGGTTTCTGATACATGTTCTTTATATGCATAGTTGGGGAGCCTGAAATTGGATGAAAGAGCTGGGCCTTGTAACAAAAGACCGTACTCGGAACAGAAGACCAAGCTGCTGGGAGTGGCCAACATTTTTTCACTTGTTAATAGAAGAGGAAATCTGTCATTGATTTGAAAGTTTATACCATTGTTTGTGGCATTCAGCACGAGCGGATTACCACCGGGGACAAAAGCACTCCTGTGATGAGCGATACAATACCGCTGCACGCTCACCTGGCCCCTATTGAAAAAACCCAGTAGTGCACTGTGCCAGTTTCGGGCACAAAAGGAAATTACATAATAATGCACAATCTGGGCTCTTGTTACAAGGCAACAGGCCTGGCTGAAATACTCGGCCATCAATAGATGTTGTCTGTCAGATTAGAGTAGCGACCAGACAGTCATTCGTATGGGTGTAAACGTCCAGTAAATGAAGCTTTGATTTTTTTAAGAATTTTGAAAATGGAAAACCTTGAAAATCACCCAGTTTTACGTCGTGCCACTTCAAATTACACCCTGCAGCAAGTGGTTAAAAGCAATTTTTTTTTGTACTTTGAATGCTTGATGAAAAACTCTTGTGAGTGAGCAAAAGCAACCTATTGACTGTGTTGTTGTGATTGTTCCTGCAGCAAACTGATAGAGGTTGAGTCTGCGGACGAGTTCTACAGCATGATGGGTCTCCTAGGCAACAAGATGCTAAAAGGAGAGATCATTGATGGAGACGAACTCATCCAGGTTAGGGGGAATCTCAAATCCTTCCACCATTATTTTGGGTATTAAAAAGGATCAAGCAGAAGGATTGTGGGTTTTGTGAAAGAGGCCAAAGTCCACAGTGTGGCCATTTCAGACTGCTCTAAGAGTTTGTTACACTGACTATTGTCAACCAGAACTCCACAGGTGTCTCAGTGCAGTGAACCAATTGCCAATCTTTTGTACTGAATTGAAACCCGGAGATGCTGACCCACTTTGAGTGATGGCGGCTGGGCCGAGTGGTCCTGAATGTACCACAAGTCTTGGCAAAAGGATCAGCTGAGTTTGTGCTCACAGAGCCTCAGTCCATTTCACAGAGACCCTCAAACAGTCAGCTCAGCAAAAGCAAGCTTAATGCCCCTTAAAATCAGTGACATAACAATGGAAATTTCCTTGCCTGAACAACGATTATCCCATTCACGCCATAAAATAGTGCTTAAGTACCAGTGTGATTTTCTGCTAGAATAAGCACAACTTTCATGCCAAGTCTTCAGCAGGGTTACAATATTTGGCCCAGGTTTTAGATTTTGGATAGTTGTAGATATTAATTTCCTTGATGTTCAGGGTCATGTCAGATTTTGCTGTCATAGAGAAACTGGACTTTTTTCTTTGACAAAATGTTTTCCCCACAGACCATATACTCCCTTGCCCCGTTCCCCTTCCCTCACCTGAACGAGATCAGGGAGAAATACATGTTCAGCATCACCCCCTTTGCTCCGCTGGGCTCCCTCCCCGAGAAATCGGAAGGCGGAGCCAAGGGGAGAGGAGGCAGAAGAGGAGGCGGTGATGGAGGTAGCGACCACGGAGGGAGTAAGAAGGAAGGCGGGAAGAGCGACGAGGAAGGGGAGTTGGACGAGGACGAGATCATGTTGACGTGCTTCACCAGTCTGTTCCCGATGCCGTCGTCGCCTTCCAAGGGCCGTCTGGAAGCAGGTAGTAATCTGAGCCCTAGACAATCGAGCAACTCCTCAAGAGGTCAGACAGAATGTAAAGTTATGCTCTTAAGTGATGTTTTGATGATATACATGTAGGCTATTGTGCAGTTGGCCTGGTCAATTAAAAGTATTAATCCTGCTTCACATGTCTTGTTGAAAGGATTCTTTTGGGGAAGAAAACAAGACAAAAACAACTACAAATTTGGATGCACAATAGTCACTTGAAAAGTGTTTGTATGAAATTTCTTTCTGCAACCTTACATGAACACACTGCACTCTCACGGAGGTATATTTGCTGCCATGTCTGGCCATGCACAGCAGTCAAGTTCAGGTCAAACACTTGGTCCACCTCTACAGACTTCCCAGACTTTGTGTGTGCAAACAAATTGGGGATTATCTAATCTAAATGTCAGCCAGAAGTGAGTCAGTGCCTACTTGATGTTTTAATCTTTCAGTCATGCCTGTGCATACAGATAGCCAGATTGTGTTTGCACGCCCTCCGGTATGAAGTGGCTAAGAACAATTCGATAATATTGTTTTAATCCTCTGTTGGGGAATCATCTTATCACAGAAAGGCAGATCTGTATTTTTTTTTTCACTTAAGAATTGAAAACTTATTTTCACCATCTAGACCCAAGTAACTTGACGTTTTTCCTCTGGGATGTTCAGATCAATCCAACCAAACCCTTGCTTGCAAAGAACTTAATTGTTAGGAATTTGGGACCAATCTTGCAGGGGAGAAGGGCGAGCAGTCGGCAGCCAGCCCCAACGACATAACCCGGATCAGCCCAGGAGCCTACGGTGCCAGCTCCAGCGAAGACGCTGTGGGCCAGAAGCTGTCCACGGCCATGCTGGAGCGGATGAACATGGACATCTACGCCCTCAAGAAGCAGTACTGGCGCATCCAGCGGCGGCAGCAGCAGGCCCACGTCATCTACAGTGCCGGAAACAAGGAGGAGGAAAGAAGTATGCTCAGATGGATCCTTTAAATCCCTAAGCATTTTTGCAACAAACCTCTCTGAATCCTTCAAAATCCTCCAACAGCTGCACTGTTCCAGAAAACAGTGGAACATAGTCCTGAAACCTTTGAGGAACATCCAGCCTTGTGTACAGTAATATTGACTGAACTCTGTCTTTCTAAATCCTGTGAATTCCTCCAAAACCTGTTAGATTTTGTGGGATTTGGGAGGGATATGGTTAACCCAATAATCCAGGACAAGACATTTTGTTTAAGGAAACACATTGGGGTACTAAACCCTGTGTTGTCACGAGGTATTACCAGGGCTATCGTGTACAGTCCGTAATCCAGTTATGTTACTGCAGACCTATGGTTCTGTGTAGATTGTGGCTATTGGAGATCTGTTTAAAAGCATCTTTTCTTCCTTTTTGCCTATTAAGATTTCCAGCAAAGCAAGCAAATATGGCTCAAAATCTGTTTATTAGCCCCTGTAATAATGGAAGCCCTCTTTTGCAAGGACATTGTGATCAAGACTTTCAGTACTTACTTGTACTTGGTGGTCTAATCTCCAGGCCGAAGACACAAAGAGCCCAGGAAGAACTTCTCCACCAGCTTGGACTCACCGTCTGCCATAAACCATCTCCTCATTGGAAAACACGGCAAGTAGATCACCCAGTTGAAGTCTAGATTATTCCCAGGGTATTTTTTTTTTTAAATTTGATTTTGTATCCATCTATAGTTTCATTGCTCAGGATTTGTGAGATTTGCCCCTTCAGCTAATACCTATGCTCGGAGAAGTTCCCTTTTTCTTCTACGAAAACATCAAATTGTCAAAAAGGACAAAGTTTGGGGTGTTTTCATGGAGCCTCTACAATGAACATTTCAAAGTGACTGTGAAGCTTTTAGATGAAGGCTCTACATGTGAGAGGTCATCTCAAACATCGCAATTCACCACAGTGACTTCTTTCTTACTTTTTTTCCCTTGAAATTGGCATCATCTGCTGTTGCTTGTAAATGTACCTTGTTTGTTCACAGGTTTGGGTAAAAAGACTCGCAAGGTCGCAGAGGGCGTTCCCACAAAGATTGCCAGCTCCAACACTCAGTCCCCAAGCAGAGTGGGTGGACGTGGAGATGCCTGCATTTCGGCAGCAGCAGCCAGCGACAAGGTCCCGGCGAGGATGGAGGAAGCCCAACCAGCCCAAACGGAGACCGAGGCACAGGAGCCCGTCGGATCCGAGAATGAGAATGAGTCGGAAGATGAGGGAGACTTGAAGAACTGGGAAGATGGAGATGAGGAGGAGAACGAAGAATCGCATGCAGTCAAAGGATCCATCGAACCACCAGTTGGTTTGCTCATTGACTTCGGAAGTCCAGAGCATAAAAGCAGAGCGGGTAATAGCAGTGTTGTTGAAGGCTCCTGTAATGGTGCACTGGACGATACTACGGATGCTGTTGGACATGCTGAGCAGAATGGCTCCGCATCATCAGGAAACAACTCTGTAGCAGATGTAAGGCAGTCGACAGTGGGCGCAGAACGTAGGAAAAGTACCGATTTGAACTTGTCGCAGTCGAGACCAGCCACCCAGACCACAGAGACGGCCAAAGTGAGTCCACTCGTCCAGCAGCACCGGTTCAACTTTGCCGTAGAGGCCTACAGGCCTGTGGAGGTTGGTTCCAGCACTGTGGAGGGGGCAGGGAACCCCAAGATGTACGGCCAGTCCAATGCCTACCGGCCCTGGCTCCACAGTGCTGCCACCAGCTCAGACTCTGACTCGGACTCGCTCGATGACAACAATGAAGAGGACGACAGGGGACCATCCCACAGCAGCGGGGTCACCCCGAGCAAGACCGCCCATTACCCTGCTTACAATCCCTTCCCCGCCCGCCGTCTGCAGAGCGAGAGGGACCGAACGCGGACTCGGCTCAAAGTGGGCCTGTACAAGACGGGAGACCGGGGACAAGAGAATGGACTCGGTGGCCGTTGCATCAACCAGCAGCTGGGAGCTAACTCCCGGAGTGTGAAAACGGGAGGCAGATTCTGAGGAAGGGTAAATCCGTTTGCTCTGAATATCATTGATAAAACTCTTGCAAAGTTGAACCGAAGAACTTGTTTGTCCAAAGCCCATGTCACAAATAGCCCACTATCATAACTGGAAGTGTGCTGGACCGATACTCAAGCAAAGAAGCTCACACCAGGATGTGGATACAGAAGAGAAAAAAATTCTGTCTTTGCGGTTGTTCATAGCAACCTTTCATTCAACCATACAAGTTACAGACTCCATTCAGTGATAACAAATTTCTGTACGTCTCAAATTCTTAAAGATGTGTAAGACCTTCTTGTATTCTACCATGAAGACTTCCAGTACTTCAAGCACCGCTCAGGATTACATGAAATGCAAAAGGAGTTTCATTTTCTTTTGGGTGAAAAAGGAAACTCATTTTTGAATTGAATTCAGTTCAGTACTTACATATTTACAGTGTTACGACACGAGCATCTTGCATGAGTCTATTTAGCTTAAAGATTTGATGTTTGGCCCTATGTAGATGTCAGTCATCCTCAGTGGGAACTTTCAGAACGAGCAAAAGGGTGCCCTCGCTGACCCGCATGATCTGACGCACTTCCGCCATTTTCAAAGGCAAACACTGTGGTACCGTGCTCAGTATTTGCCTAGTAGGCAGAACCTTCAAAGATTTATCAAGGGTCCAAAAAGGGGGGCAAAATGTGGAGCCAGCACCCAGCACTGGATTGGAATACCAACAGTTGTAACATGGCGTGAGCGGTGATCTCTATGCCATGCGATAAAGAATTTCTGGATATATTACAGGATAATGAGCGCTACTGTCCAGTTCACAATGGGAGGCGAATGAATTCTTGTCATACGCCTGCCTGAGGCAAGAATGGTGCCTAATCTTGGGGGAAACTGTGTGGTCAGTCACGCGGTGCTTGGAGGCCTTCTGATTATCCCGTAATTTCAACCAAACATTGGCATGTATTCAAGATTTTGATTTCGCACTCTGGTTACAAATGAACAAATGGAGAGCCACAAAAGCTTACTTTCAAGTTAGATTTGGCCGGGTTGGTGCATATTCCGGATTGTTGGTCTTATCTTCTTATAATTACCGAACAAGAACAAAACTATGCTTAGCCAAAACAGACCACCAACTAAGTTGGCATGCCATACGTATGAGCGATAGATCCAGTTACATGTAGCCCCCACCCATCGCGCACACGGGCAGTTGACCCATGCATCTCGCTAGTGCCACATTACATGATTGAGCTACATGCATCATGAGTGCATGCACGCACGCACGCACGCGCGTTGGACCTTTTATATGCTTGTATGTCACACCGCTTGCATGTTGGACATTACCAATAGGTGATTGGTCGATAGACCAAGGGATAGGGCTGAAAAGATCAGTCTGCTGTCAGGCGACATCTCATGGGAGCATTTCTTTCACCCCTGGGCAGTTGTATTTCTCTGTTGTATTACATATTGTTACACTATATAACATATGTATTCATTCGTGATTAGTGCATAAAATTACACACTGCAGAGGTAGTCAGGGGCAGTTGGGAGTAACAGGCTGGATGGTTCTCAGCGGGATGGGAACAAGTTAGGTAATAAAACTGATTTCAGTTCCCAGATACAGTTGGGACATTGATTTCCCTTAGCACATGACAGGTAATGTTTTACTTAGCTACATGTAATATAAGACATATGACATGACATATAAAAACTACTACCCTGATATATGAAATAGATTTGATTGTCTAATGCATTGCAAGCGAGCACAGGCCAATTTGTGTATATATTGTTGGGAACATATATGTATATTGTATATCAGAATGAAACATTTGAAATGAATTTTGGATGATCTGAACTTGAAACAAAGTGCAATGCCCCCAAAATTATTATTCATATATCCATGTTGAGTGCATTGAAAGAAGACACAAATTCCAAACACTGAAGTAACCGATTGGGTTTTGATTTTTTACTCAATGTATCTGTAGTACAAAGGTCTGTGCAAAAGCGAAGCATTTTTTAATTGCTGGTCAAAATGCAGAAATTGAAAAAAATTGAATGATCCACGATACCCCACAAGTTCTGATAAAGAAAAAACCTACCTTGGGGGAATAGTTCAGATAAATTGTTGTTAGCTGCCTGAGGTATTACTTCCAATGCCTTGTAAAATTGTATTCTCCCAAATTCTGGGCATTTAAGGCTTTGCTAGGCTAGGATAGCTTTATTTATTCTTTTCTCTTTCAAAAACAACAAACATTTGTCAAAGTGAACTCGTTATTCAAATTTGGTGTTTTCTAAGCAATAGAGTTGAAGTTACTAAGCTAAAGCCCATAGTATTTATGTAGAAAGCATGCCAAGATACTCCCACTGGTTTCAGTGCTATAGGTATTTTGCTTTAGAAATTTTATTTGCAGAGTGGATTTTTCCTTATTTTATCTTCAGAGTTCCGTCAATTTGTTTTTGTAGAAATTCATGTGCAATGACCAGATCTATATTTAGTTATTTCATTAAGACTGTGTTAGACTATGACTATGTTAGTGGTTGCTTTTAAAAAATTTTTCATTCACTTTTAAGTTTTTATTGTGACAATTGTTTCCAGTGCTGCTGTTACATCTTCTGGGAGGTTTGCTTTGAATTAGTTCGCATGCACCATGTCCCAAAGGAGGGACCCCATATTTTAGATTGAAACTACTTTTTGGGTCAAATTGTTCCCCTTCATGTGCACAGGGGCCCATTCACACAGACCAGCAGTTTCTAAATGGGTGACTTACAACAGAGGCAGAACGATTTTCAAAATGGGGGGGGGGGCAGTTGTGAGACTGTCAGCCATTAGCCATACATAGATCAATCCATTAATCCCCACTCCCATTATAGGACCTGCCAAAATTAGGGGCCACCCCAACCCCCCAAATGGGGGGGGGCACTGCACTGGCTTCCCTGGCCCATTGCTTCTCCTACCAATGGTGACTTAAAGCAGTATGCCACACAGAATTGTACATTTACCCACAAAGTGGGAATCTGTTTCACATGTAAACTATTATTACGTAGGACTTTTAATAACAGTCGTAACCGGCAGGAAGGCTTAAAGCCAGAGAACATAGTCTCAGTGTGGTATCTGTCCCCTCTCTGTGAAGAGTCTCATAGAAAACCATAGTGTTCAATTATTATCAACTCCACAGAATTCCATGACTGCTTATCTGTTTCAATAGACCCTCGTACTTCTGGTAAATTGCTCAAAGATGTTAGTGACAGCTTAATCAAAAGCCTTGCTTTGTTGTCATTTTTTTCCCTTTTTTTGAGATTTGTTCCGAGTTTGCCTTGAAGAAGAAATAATTTAAAGTATTCATTGTAAAAATATTTAAGGAATAAATGAATTTGAATTTCTTGTTCACTACAGGTTTTATGAGGGATTTTATTTCTGAATCCGTGTCATGTCCCTTTTGCTTTCGGTTCGAATTTAACAGGATTTGTTGGGGAAGACTTTTAACACCCTTTTTTAGGGGGGAGGGGGCAAATCTGTGATCCAGATATCAAGTAGTTATCTTGTTGATGCAATGGTCTTCTCAAGGTGGGTCACCGAAAATTAGCAAAAATATGAACGAAGCTTGGAAAGAGAGAGACTGAATGTTCAAGGCCCTGAACAGGACCTCCCGAAAAGATCAGGAAACACTTTCTCTACTTGCACAGAACTGGATATTCTGTCCATTTCATTCACCAAAATTGCCAGGATATCTAACACTTAGATTTATCCCATACAAAGAAATGTTAAGTTCACAGATCATATTCCTTTGAGTAAATTTCAAAAGTAATACAAATTTAGAATGATTACAGAGGGGGGGGGAACTGTTACAATTGTTACACAGGTCCACTTTTTGTTTTGTTTCCCATCTCCCATCATGGAAAATGAAAACAAATAGTGGCAAGTCTTTGTTTTCCAATGAAAAAAAAAAAACTGTAAATTACAGAAATCTCGTTTCAAGAACTCAACACAGAAAGTACAGATCAAAGTCATTAGTGGCATTAAAATGCAATTTTTAATAGGTAAAATGTGAGTAAATAATCTTACACAGTGTTGAATACAATTACAATTGAAACAAATAGCAAAGCATTACGTACATTGAACCCACTGTCCACAGCAGAATACAGTCACAAAAATGGATTTGAAGTACTTGCTGAAATCATAGAGCATAAATTTGACTTAAAAAGTAATGTTTTGCATGAATAGCTGTAAAGCAAGATTAAATGTCCAGAGAAAACTCAATAACTATGATTTCCGAATTTTTTTTTCAGTTATCATGGTTATGTGATCAAGTTTCTTCCAGCATGTCCAAACCCACTTTCCTGTTCTCCCCAAAAGGGGCCCTTTTACTACAATGTGATTATCTGAAATCATTCAAGTTCAAATACATGTACTCCTGTGCTCTCACAAAAAATTCAGTCATAAAATCTTTCAACTTACTTTGCAAAAAGACCAACTACCAAACTAACCTACACTACACAAACGTCAAAAACCAGATTTCCCCTTTTCATTTCAGTATTTTTAAGTTTTTAGGAAGAATGTTTGGTACTGTTTATTTCATGATACTAAGATCTTCAAGCAAACAAATCACAGGCGAATTCTAAATAAAGCATTCTATTACCCCTCAGCTGACATTTTTCAAACATTTAAAACGTATTTTCAGGTTAAAAAATGTGCCCTTCTTTAGTAAAAAGACAAAGAGTTATATCTTAAAGTTTGCGTGTTGCATGGTAGTGAGCAAACACATACGTGTGTGCAATAATGGCAGTACAAATAATTCACTGGCAATTTGATTTTGATTTCAAATTTGAAAGAGGGAATTAAAAAAATACAAACAATGCACATATATTGCACTGTAATGCAGCAAACACCACTTGATTATAACTGCAAATTTGCGAATTAGAGATACCACTATGGATTGATAACGGGATTGAAAAAAATGCAAGCGTATATGTTAGGATGATCTTCAGGACAGATTCGAAATCTTCAGGACAGATTCGGCAAACACCATTTACGGGAAAATTGGGGATGAGATGACTGCAATGCTCTCAATGGCACACTCATCCGTGCCGCGCCGGATGCGGAAATAACCATTCTCCCCCCAACCCTCACCCCAACTGTTCTTTACACTCCAGAATTTCTCTCCGGTGCTAGGGTCTGCACCGTAGCCTACCACCAGCACAGCATGGTTGGTGATCTGAAAGGGGTCAAATCCCCCTAGGTGGGAGTTGTTGTCACCCAAACCCACGTGGTGGTAGATTCCACCCTTGTACGTCTCAAAGTCACGGTAGACTTCAAAGGCCACTGAGATGGGTCCGTTCTTGACTAGCTCAATTCGCATCAACTCCTCGTTGCAGCCACCATAGAAATCACCAACGTATTTGTAATTGGTTGCATAGTGACGTTTGCATGTGTTCTTCTTGCACGGAGTGTCCCTTCCAACATAAGGGGTGCATGACTCTTCGACCAGGCCAAAATCCTCTGCGTACTTGCCAGCGATCAGATATGGAAAGCCACCTTCACAGCCTGCAAGATTGTAGAAAATAAAATATAAGCTCCTTCTTGTAAATACTCATAATAAACGGACCCCATACCGTAGGTTGAACTGGAAATTTGGAAGGAGAGAGAATTTCGCTGCAGAGGAAAGTTGAGTTGACTACCTCTTGTCCTGTGCATAATTCAACCACAAATCATGAGACAGAAAAACAAGGACTAACATTTCCTTCCTCTTCTTGGGTCTACAAGTTGGTGAATCAATAAGAGCAAACTATAGATAACATACTCAATGCAAAATTTGCCTGCTATGCTTCTCCGTCATATTCATCACATCCAGCAGGCTTAACTTTTTCAACTTTCATTTTAACCTGTCTAATCCTGGCCAGTCCTCTGAAATCAACTTTTACATGCGGCTGCCAACGCAGGCAACAAGACTTCATGTGGACAGTCACTCATATGGCTTGAAGCTTTGGCTGAATCAACTGGCCGCGGCTTAGACTGACGTGCATGTCTGTAGACAGTGGCTGCGGCTAAGGCTTCCATAAGCACACATGTTACTTCCAGCCACAGCCGCAACTTTTGCCCCTGGTCTTTGAGTCACAGAAAAAGCCACTGGTATGAAAAGTCTGCATGATGTACCACAATGAACAGCTACCCCTTTGAAGCAATATGAACTTATAGTCAACGAGAGGTTATTCAGAGAATCATCTTCTTGGCTTTCCAGTATGTTTCCACGATGTTATCTCGAACATCCTATCCAGCCAGTGTATGGTTCTCGACATATCTCTTCCAGCCAATGTGAATTAATACCTCTTTTGTAAAAAAGAAAAAAGAATTTTTTTTTAGTTTGAAGGTGCCCTTTTCCCCGCACATCCCTCACTACATCATGAACAGTAGACTAACACACAAAATCAAAAATGCACAGATTTTTTTTTTCAACTTTCTGGAAAGAGAAGGCTAATTAGCAAATATTATTTCAGTAGTTCTTTTACATGTTTTTGAGATCTTTTGACTAATATGTAAATTGCAAAAATATAATAATAAAAAGCTATAATTACATTAAAAGAATTCTTTTGAGCACACTAACAATCCTATTACAAATTTTCAATTTGATAAAAAACTACTGGCACACATATAAGCTCTGATAGAATGTTATTAGCTACAAACTTCATAAAAATTGGTAAACTGCAAGCTGCAATGTTTTTGCTTCGGTTTCAGGATAATTCAGAATTAAATTCCTGACACATTATGTTACTCCTGAATGTGATTTCTCAACAATGAACAACCTTGTATTACAAAAATAATGCAACATTCACTATCTCAACAAAGAAAGAACTGAAAATATTTGGCAAAGTATCACTGAAAATATTTGGCAAAGTATCACTGAAAATATTTGGCAAAGTATCACTGAAAATATTTGGCAAAGAATCACTGAAAGCTTATCATACATATGATAACTTGTCTTGTTTCTCTGATTGATATCAACACATAAAAAACTTACAAAACTGTGCTAAATGTATGGACACTTTTTTCAAACACCTAGCAGCAAAACTTAGTTGCAAACATTGTAATCATTCCCAGTACATGTTTCAATTAAAATCAAGTTGTGTGTTACTAGAAACTGTACATGCCCATTATTGGAAATTTCCATACCACTAGAATTTATTTTACAAAAGTATATTTAGAATAAAGCGTTATCCACAACTGTGCAACAAAAGAAAATTTACTAGCAATCACTCGACAGTTTTTGTGGACTGTGATTAGTCTAAAAACAAAGCACTTTTCTGGTTGATTAAACTAGGATTGTTTTTTGATACAAAAAAGCTTTGAAATTATCATTTGAGGCTTGACTGTTGTGTTTGGTGCATGCATTGTACTGTGTGAATGTGCACAGCCGTAGGCCCCAAGTAAGCATTAAAACTCTGGGACAAATCATACTTCATTCTAGCATAGATATGGAACAAATTTGCCATCATGACACATTCACAGTGTAACCGGTCACATTTACATTTGTTGAAAATTCGCAGAGAAACCCCTTGTCCAGATGTCACAAGTCGTCATCAGCAGTCACGCTTTTAGTAACTTTGGTTCTATGAACCAGGTACCAGGTTGTGAATATTTCTAGCATGTCTAGGGATAAATTGGGAATGTCTCTACAGCAATGCTCTCTATTGCGCACTCATCAGTTCCACGGCGAATCCGGAAGTATCCTTGCTCTCCCCAATATTTCCCCCAGCTGTTTTTCACGACCCAGAACTTCTCCCCGGTCTTAGGGTCTGCTCCGTAACCGACAACCAAGACGACATGGTTGGTGATCTCAAATGGGTTGAACCTGTAGCCCGGGCGATCGGTCAGACCCACATGATGGTAGATTCCTCCCTTGTAGGCCTGAAAGTCGGGATACACCTCGAAGGACACAGCGATAGGTCCGTCCTTCACGAGTTGGATCCGCATAAGCTCCTCATTGCATCCACCATAGAAGCCACCCACGTATTTATAATCAGTTGCGTAGTAACGCTTGCATGTGTTCTTCTTGCATGGGGTGTCCTCTCCTACATACGGGGTGCATGACTCTTCGACCAGGCCAAAATCTTCAGCGTACTTGCCAGCGATCAGATATGGAAAGCCACCTTCGCATCCTGACAGTACAGTGAGTATAAACAGAAAAAGTGTCCATTTTTGATGCAGTTTCAGGGGAATTTTTTCCCCTCCTGTCTTCACACTGTACATTTTCCCAGCAGTGTGCCAATATCTTCTTTATACCCTAAGCTTTCAAGTGACTGTTTTATTTCGTAATTGTTGATGTGTACAGACACAGCAACAGTAGTTATTTTTCTCCTGCAGCTACAATTTGTACTGAAATTAAGGACAGGTTTTTCCATGAAAGCTGGCTCAAATTTTCTTACATTTGTTGAATTTGTTTACTAAGTGTGCACAATGCGACAACCATTAACCCCTTCACGCTGGGACGCGGATAGAGCCGCCGTAAAAATTGAGATCCTCAGCCCGCTTTTCAGCTATTATTATCGGCCCATGCTCAAGCGAACACGGTGAAAGACGGCAGACCCTGGCTCTTGTATATATGGTAATTGGTCTTTGTGCGTAGCCCAGAAATCACCAGCTTCACAATAGTCCCCACTTTGAAAAGAGGCAACGGGAATGTGGAAGCTTGAGTAGAGCCGAATGCCACCGAACAATCATCTTTTTCACCGTGTAATTCAAAGCGTGCATCTGCGGTTTGGTAGGGGGCCTTCGTGGCCAAGCGAGGCTCGAATTCTTGGAGTTGGCTTTCGGGAAGAAATTCCCGTCGTCAAGGGGTTAACTAATTTCCTCATCATGCCATACATGTACATTGTATGTAGGTATCAACACGTATACCGTACCAAGCCAATGTACTTGCCAGCAATACAGTATACAGAAAGTGTTGTTTTATCACTGAACTGTTCCTCTTTCGATTCCAGTTTCAATAACAGCTCAGACACACACACTTCTGGTTCTGGGTAATGATTCATCTCAGCTTTCAACGAATACTTACACTGAGGGCCACCTTGTGTGAGTACCACTTTCGACTTGTTTTCTCCAAATTATAATTTACTTCCTTGCTATTTCAAAACGAAGTTTGTGTATAGTTTGATAATTCAGTTTTGAATTACTGCTACTCATTTCGCTTTTCCCTAACGACTGCCCATGAGAGTATTCAAACAACTGTGATACTGGAGAAAAGGATGAGTCTTTTATTGTGATGAATATCTTGCACGAGTGCTTGTAACACGTACTTTTCAAGTTTTTTCAGAGTAAGGCATCATTCCTACAAAATGGTTCAGATCATCAGATGCCTTTAAATATCAATCACAACAACAGAAAACCTGTGGGCCTATCATGATCTACATTTGATGGCAAAGCCTCTCGCTAAATCTTCTCATGCTTCATGAGCTGAGGCATTTAGGGGTCAAAATACAGCAAAGATAATGCTTCTAGTTTCAGCAGGGTTGGGAAAATGATTTATCAATTTCAGCAAATGATCATTTCTTAATTATTTTAAGATGAGATACGCACAAAGATTCATACAAGTACGTGTACATTTCCCAAGAAAATACTTTGTTGTAAATGCTGTTGAAAGACACATCTAATGCAGTTTATGATTAGCAACATTGACGCCTAAATGTATTTGCTGGGTGAGATGTGCACCCCGAGCACCCATATTTCAAAAATTCACTGTAGTGTAAAAGTGAAATCTTTAAAAACAAACGCAGAGAGCACAAAAAACACGACTTCATGGAGCACTTACAACTACCATGCCATGTAAGAAAAGAGTCAATTATTGGGAAAAAGAGACTGGATTCCATTGGATGTGACACTGTGCCAGTGGTGACCAAGCGTTTAATGATGGTTCATGTGGAGACCAAAACACTGTGAGGACATGCAGAGGTCTTCACAACAGGGCTGAAATTTCTGATAAAAGTCTTCCGATAAAAATCTGCCCTTTCAGCTAGTGCTTTATCAACTGTTTAAGACCGGATGGACTCTCAACCCATTGGAATTGCAGAACTGTCTGAGTATTTCTAAATGTTTCACACTCCATCAAGTACAGGCAACTCTCATATCATAACAGAAATCAGACAATAAATGTCACTATCTCAGAAGAAGCAAAACAGAGCAGATAAATGTTTAGTTACCACTTTTTTCACACACTCACCAATCAGTGAAAAGAAAAAAAATAGAATTGACACAGTTCAGGTTACCTTGAGAATATTCACTGCATGACACAACGTCCTGTGGTGACATGACTAGCTGCTTGGTGTTATTTGTGGCGATGCGGAGGCGCGCCTCGTACATGGCCATGGACCCAAAGGCATAGCAGCTCCCACAGCCCCCCTGGTTCCGCACAGGTGACACAAAGTTTTGCCCGTTGACGTTACGCCAGTCGAAGGACAACGGTAGGGTTTTTGCAAGATTTCTCACCGCCTCGGTGACAGGAGCTGGACTAGGCTTGCTGTGAAAAGGTCAGAACAAAAAAATTAGTATTACATATGATATTCGTTACTCCTTTCATCCATAAATGTGAAGATTTTCTCAGTGAAGGTTTTGGTTTATGAGAGATTGACAGAATTTGCAAGAATGATACCTTCATAAAAATTCAGTGAGAATCAGGAGTGGTGTAAGCCAAAGGTGGATCCATGGGAGAATAGCAATGTGGGCCACCCCCCCAAATGATAGAATACATGTAGGGTCTGCTCATTTGATGTCACAATCGTGGTTTTCCGACAAGTAGCTGCTAAAACTATGGCTGGCCATCAGTACAAAAGAAACACAATCATTCATGAAGTGTCAAAAATCCCACGCAGCTATCAGAATACCAGATGATAACACATTTACTACTAAATACCTAAAAAAAAGACAACCCCATTTCACTTAACAAATGTCCATTTTAAATGAATTTGAGGTACAATCGAAAACCAACCAAAAGATCATATTTATGCAAAGTTTGGCCATACAAAATGCAGGCAAAATGGGCATGGTCTATACACAAAAGTAAAAATAAAAAATAAATTTAAGCCTTTAGACTTATCACTGTGCTTTGAAAATCAAATTTCAATTGAGTACTTTTTGGCAACATTTGGCAGTAAAGTGTCTCACCTTGCCATTATTGATGCCCGACCTCCTCTTCGACGAACCATCTCCTCTACCGTCATTTTCTCATACTCTGGATAAACTCCTGCCTTCCAAGAACTCTGGGCAGCGTTGATCTTATTGATGAGGTCACGGTCGATTTTGTACAGCTGTTTGGATGCATCTCTGTCAAACGAACAATAAGTGAGAGCCTCATTCTTTTAATTAGGTTAACAAAACTGAAATCATACTTTCTCAAAATGGGAAAATATGCCTGATGGTATATCCGCCGCAGAGGAGTAGGAAGAGAGGTCCTTTGGGAAGAGATCAGGACTCAGAACTTACACAGGTTTCTCTGGAGGTGGTCGATTTTTGGTCTGGTTCTTTGTGCCGACATAGCAAGCCCAGTCAGTGCCTACCACATTATGGGACCAGCCAGGCAAGGTCTCATCGCAGATGCTCCTAAGACAAGAAGGCAGATCAGAAATAAAAATCACCAGTGAGATTTTAGGGACTCTCAATGCAGTTAAGTTAAGTAACTTCTGGCATCACGAGCTGATCAGGAATAATCTCATTAAACATATGTGTACCAGAAAAAAAGTGGTTTCATGTGAAATCGGAAGTATTATTTCCTACTTCAGATTACATGTCCATGAATGTAGACTTTCCAAGGCAAACGCCTGTTACTACATGTAACCCTTGTCACACATTATGATAGGTTTTGCACCAAAAAATGCTTACATTTTGATATCTTGACACTTACTTGTACTTTTTACCCTCTTTCACATATTTGGAGAAGGCAAAGTATTTCTTCTTGTTCAGAACCACCTCAAAGCCTTGGTTATAGATCAGGGTCCAAAACCCTGTGTGACCGTAGGTTGCATCGACAGCAACATCCGGGAACTTCAGGTCCACAATAACCGTGTGGTCAACAGGTCCTTGGACAGGAAGAAGAGAAATGATGACAATCTAAAAGTTGTTCCAGATCTGTGGGGAGAGTTTTTCCCTCGTAACCAGTCATGCCAGTGCACAAATATATCCTTGATACCTAGTAAAACTGAACAGTGGTTGACCAGTTATCATTGCTCCAATCCCTCCTGTGGGTGAAGTGAATTTGCGTCTGAATTCTATTGAATTTCTCTCACATTTTTGTTCCCGAAATGGATCTGGGGGACGGGGGGTTGGCCAATGGGGCATGTTTTTGGTTGATGTAATTCCCCTTCCTTAAAAAAAAACATGAAAAAACCTCAGATTGTAAACTTGGAAAGAGTTCCACATACAGACATCACTTGACACTCTATGCACAAACCCTTGCCGATTTCTCTGAAAAATTCTACATGTTTTTTCTTAGTTAACAAACAACTTGGTATTTTCCGTTCTAAATTGAAGATTTCAGGATACATTTTTGCTTTCTGATGGCTAACACCAGTTACTGTAGGAAATACTATTACTGGTGTCCACATGATATACTGATATATGGAACTCTTTCCGTAGCCTTACCTCAAGAAGGTCAAGTTACAATTACAAGAAAAAATCCACCCCTCCCCCAGCCCAGGTTGGACCTGGGCTACCCCTCCCCTAAACCTGTGAGTATTTTGGTTCTGGATCCATCCTTGTGGGATGTTCTAATGTCGAGTCTCCATTCCACGTCTTGTTGCTCTCAAGTCTCTTTTTGTCTTTTGTGCAACAAAAGTGCTTAGAATCCAATAAAGAGATTGCCTTAAAACTAACCTTATGAGGGTTGGGCTTATCAGTCACGTTAGTGAATGACGTACATTCTGAGAAAAACAATATGATAACACAATATTCTAGGGTCTCGATTTCAAATCAAATTTGCACGCAGGCCTAGGCCTCACAAAACTTTTTTGGCCTACCTGGGTCAGAGCAGTTGAGTGTGTTGTCTCCCCCACCAGCACTCACTTTAAACACCCATCGCCCAACGATGTCATCATAAGTGCAGTTAGCCGGAGTGTCAGCTAAAACAACCGGTAAAAATGCCACGACAGCAAGGAAAACTTTCACGATCGCCATCACTGAAGATTCACCCACTTTGTGCCGGCACACACTCGACTTGCCGCGGGCCGGCTGCAATAGACCATGGAGGTAGAATCATAGACTATCGACACATGATCGATCACGCGCCCGTTCATCTGCGATGCGCGGGCAAGTGTTTTCACGTGATCAACTTGTCACTCAGCTTACAAGTGATCACCTGACTATTGTGCATGTGACTGTAGATGTCAGCCTGTTTTCCTGATTTCCCCTGTCCCAACCGCATTAAAACAAAACAAAACAAAACAAAACAAAACAAAACAAAAACAAACAAACAAACACAACGCACATACCTGTTTTACATACATAGTGTGGACTTTCCTTTGTTCTACTGTATAGTTAAGGAAACTTGAGCATAATGCTCCTTTTTCTCTAGCTAGGATAACTCCTTCATGCTGGATATTTGATGGTGAATCCCTGGACTGTTCCTCTTCATTTTGCCACAGATAACCTTGACCCCCAAATGCCACTGAAACTGTTTTTCAGAGAGTGGGAACATTGTGTGGACGTGCGAGTCCACACTACGCCATCGCACCCTACATTATGTGGACTTCCGCTTTTGTGCAGAGGTCCACACTACGTATCATGCACGCCTGCACGCACGCCCACCCACACACAACTCGACTTTGAATAAAAGGCTACTTATTTTTCCAAGTAAAGCCCGTACATCATGGGAAGCTTCCCCGAGCCATGAAGAATAATCACAAGACTAGTAAACGATTTCCCCATATGAAAAAACGTACACTAGTTGTATGGCTCAGTATCCCCAGTCGGACATAGTAAAAACGCGCCCGAACACTCATGTTTTTTTCTCCCTCTGTGAAATAGTGACAAATTATCCTGAAAATGATCCTTGTTGACGTCAGAATCTTTACCCGGCAGGATATGGGACAGAGGGACCCTTCTGCCAAACCCTGTAGATACTCTGTCTCTAGAATATCTTACTAACACATCCCCGTCTGAAAAAAAATTCCTGAGATTCGGTCAAACAATGATCAACACACGGGGGGGGGGTTCTTTCCGTCTCATATCTTGCCATGTGCTTCGAATGGCAGAATCACTCGCTCCAGTTCTTGCCCCGATTGATTTTTTTTAACTAACAAAAGACAGTAATCGGTATATTTATATTAGCACCAAAACCCTAGGAAAACAATTAGTACCAGCAAATCATGTGAAGCAAGCGTATCTGGAACTTGACGCGAGTAAGGCTTTCAATTTTGTTTCTTCTCAACATCATGTTGAATGAGCCCGAAGCAGCATTCGCTTTTGAATCCCCCCAACTAAAAGTGGGATACGCCTCTGAGGGCATGTAAAGGTTTTACTCTTATTGTAAATTGAATATTCATCAGATGTTGATCAGTTTGAAAATGATCTGAAATCCGCAATTTTAGTTTTCACTGCCAAAACGTGGTAGATGACCCACCCCTGGTCAAGAAGTTGGTGGATATCCATTCCGACTTCGGTATGCGAACTTTTTTTACACAACGCGTTGGGGAAATCGGTCTAGTTGAATTTCAATGGGGAACTTACTTGTCTGATCACCTTGCCGTGGTCTGATCGTCATTTGACAGGGGAAGTAGGCCACTGACAGCTAGGAACTGAGCCACTCTGCCTGCGGGCCCACACAGCAGTGGCGCAAGTAGGCTATTTTAAGAATAAACTTTATATATACATTTATAGGGTTAAATGTCCGGGGACACCCTGGGGTGCAACATATTTTTCAAGGGGGAACCACATAAGCTGCAGCTTCATAGCCAGCTACCGGTATATTCTATAAACCCAACGGAGATTCAAATGGGGGTGGGCACCCGAGGAGAACGGGGTGTCATCTCGGGGGGGGGTTACGTCCTCCCGTGCCCCCCTAGTTACACCACTCCCAGACAGTTGTGTAATTAAAAAAAATGCTCTCGGTAGTCACGCCTCGCAACCATGCTCCCCATCCGGGGGGGGATAGAGGGACTCCTCATAGGGAGAGAGAGAAACCACTCATATCCGGAAATAAGGGGCGTCTCCGCACCCAAATACATAGAGGGCGGGCTATACCAAGCGAACAAATAGACTGGTTCGAGCACACATCGATATGCAAGATATAGACGTGTGGTTGGGTACAAGTCCCGGCTACCGTGTCACGGGGATCGGAGCTGAGCTCGCGCGAGTGGTGAAGTTGTGTCGAATTCTGCATCCTTGACGAAGTCTCGACTACTGAGTGTGCTTTAAAGTTTAAGGCTAGGATTCGCCTTCATTCATTTAAATTTTGGGAACTTGTTCTTTTTAAGCGTTTTGATCGACGCTTGCCTGGAGCGACTATCACTTGGAGTTGGGAACTGATTTCAGACTTAGAGCAAGCTTGAGGAGGGTGTTTCGTGTAGCGACGGTGAAAAATTTCGTCTCAACCACTTTCCACAATTTTCCAACAGTCCCTGGTCATGCTGGTAATGCCTGGCTATCCTTTTCGTGCACTGACCTTGTCGGGCCTGGCTTCTTTCTACTAGTCAACTGGATCAATGAATGGGATAGGAGGGGAAGTAGTTTCAGCTTTGTATTAAAGAGGGAAAGACTTGCAGCTGACCTATTCGAGCTTAGCTAAATGATCTGCTTGAAAGTTGAGCAGATTGACAGAAACCAAACATTCTTACAGTTTTTGAACCTGTCCACTGAGCTCACTACACATCACTGAATCGAAATTGGAATGGTGAGTGCTAAATAATTAAAACAAGGGAAGAGTTCCATATACAGACACCAGTAAGTGTTCCTTACATATAGTTATACTATATAGCCTTCAGAAAGCAAAAACGTGTCTAGAAAAGTTCAACTGAGGAGCGGAAAAACCAAATTGTGTAATCAGAAAACACATGAGTTTTAGACCAGTCTCATTGGGTTTGTGCACGGTGTGTCAAGTGCGTCCGTATATGGAACTCTTTCATAAAACAAAAACATCCAGTTGCGTGTTACTTCTTAACCCTAACACTCCTCAATCCTTCACCTGTTGGAGGACTGAGGAGTGTTAGGGTTAAGGAAAGAATTCCCATATACATGTCTATGGTTGCCACTCTTCACTAATTTTCCCTTGTATTAAGCCCAGCTGTTGGCCATCTGAAAGCAATAAAATGATGGAGGCCTTCATCATGTACATGTAGTGAAAAGTCAAATTTAGCACTAGCAGGGAAAAAAATTAGGTAAAACACTCAGAATTTTCAGACCAGTCTATGATGATGATGATAGGGTTTGTGCCCACAGTCACTGGTGGGGGATTGTGTTCTTTGGGACCCCCCAGTTTTCTTGTCATTTTAATCTTGCAAAACGGGTATTATAAGTCCCCTAAAGAACAAAGCCAATGCTCTCTTTATTCAAATTATTGCGCTGACCCTATTTTTTGGAAATTTCAAATTGTAAATTGTGAGAAAATGTGACTTTCTTACTAATAAACTAGCCATGCAAATTTAAATCCACCGTGTGTCATCTGTTAAAACACACACTCATAATTTCCCGCAAAACTGAAAACCCTTCCCTCTTTTGAAAACATCAACCCTACACTTATTGAGCATGATGTCACAGTCATCTACCAAGTTGAATTGACAAGTTAAAATGTAACTCTCTCCTCTATTTTAGGAACAAGGTCCCCAAATTTACAATCCCTATGGGTGGTCCGTATATAACTAATAGTACCTTTTCAAGTGGCCGTTTTTCAACCGATGCCATAAATATTGCTGTATGCCTTGTGTACAAACCCCATGACACTGGTCGGAACAATTCTAAGTGTTTTCTAAGTGAATAGGGCCTACCTCAATACATGTAAGTCGCTGAAGGAAAAAACGAGTGGCATCTGTATTTAGGGCCTTGATGGACTTCTTTCCATCAAATGTTAAGTTAAATTGCAATGATGTTTTATTTTTCTTTTTTTTGTGAAACCATGTGATGTCATTTCTGGAAGAAATATCCATCTTGGGAATTCAAGTCCACAAAAACAATGTAAGCAAGAAACCCAAAATCAGACTTTTCACAGTGCAATGTTGCAGTCCTCCAAAACACCGACCACACACGTTGAGTTACTGGCTGGTATGGTACAAAAGCGAGAACATAATCAGTACCTGTTCGTGGCCAAATATTCATGCCTCTTATTTTCTCTCGTCTATAAGAGTAAAAAGTTGCCACAAAAGGAGGGATATTGCAGCCATTTAACATGAACCATTCAAGATGCACAATTCTTGGTTCTGTATGAAATCAAGGACACAATTCCTATTCAGGCTGTGAATTTACCGATTATTAAAAAGCAATCGATATTTGACCAGAGCTGGTTGGAGGTCCCCAACGTTGCGTTTCTTCTTTCCCTGATTTAGTATCCTGTTGGACATTACAGGATGACCAGTGGCTATTGCCTTGTTTATCTCTTGTTTTCTGGATATGGTTCAGGAGGAGGTTACTGAACAGAATGGAGAGGCTACCAACGACGCGCCCTTTGAACCCTGGTATCAGGTACAGGTGACAGGGGCCACGAAAAATGGCAGCACCATCATCTTTGACGTGGTCACAAAGAAGGTGAGAATTTCCTTCACCCTGGTTTGGATGGAAGGGAAGTGGGCAGGATACCAGGTTGGGAGGAATGGTCAGGGTTCCAGGTTGGGAGGAATGGTCAGGATTCCAGCTTAAATGGGAGCCACAAGGGGGAAGTGTGAACAATGACCGTTTGTCAACGACTGGTCCCTTTTGCTTGGTACAAATGTATATTTTTTGTGTACAGGTTAAATCAACAGGAGAAATTGACCGGTTGACCACTGGTGGTCAGTAAATTGTCATCACTTGAATTTGCCCCATGGTACAGTGTCCTATATCCACATGTGCATGTATGTACTCTGTCAAAATTATCTACCAATGTTTTTTTTTTTAACCTGATGTGATGCACATGTATCCATATACCACTTGCAGGGGCGTAACCGGGGGGGGGAGGGTTGCAAGGTGACCGTCTTGGAGACGTTGTTGCAAAGTTGTTTATTTTTTATGGGGGGATTGAAAGTGCCAGCATTTTAGAAACGGAATCACCACCTTTCCTTGGAGGCATAGGAGGGATGGGCGAAGACTCTCTTCCACACGTACACATACATAGTGAATACAGTTCATCAGAAGTCGTTCACAATGACACACTTGCCACTCTCTGATTTTTTAAATTTCCTTGTTGTGGTCAGAAATTTTACACCTATCACTACTGGCTGCATCCATTTAACTGTAGGTGTGTGTGTTTTCAACTTTGGAAAAGCTGATAAAATTACAGTGCTCTCTGTGCTCTGCTCGTATTTTTCAGGGGGGCACTGAAAGCCTGTAAACGGTAGCCTGTACATACCGGTAGGTCATGTACATTTCAAGATTTCAAATGCAAAGGAGGGAAGGTTAGATGGGTGGAAGGGGCATGGACCTTCATTGGGGGAATGTAACACCCCTCCCCCCCCAAAAATGGGTTGCACGTCGGTTGGTTACTAACTTCTTAAACATGGCTAATAAATTTTAGGGAGGCACTTGGATAGCTCAGATTGCATTATGTCCAGTTTAACACTTGAGGTTGGAAGACTATCTTTTTATTCATGCTGCATTGAGGCTGTGCTCAGGCTCTGCAGGTATCCTGTTGAATCTAACAGAATCCATGAAAACGTGCATCGTGCTGGTCCCTACAGATTGCAATGGTTTCACTTTCAGCAGGAGTTCTGAATTGCACTTGTCAGATGAGCAAAATTCAACAGAATTGCCTGTCGTTGGCTTGTCAGGAGGGTTATATCAATTCACATCACTTGGCCTTGTTCTTTTTATCTAGTCATTGATCAGTTGCCGTGTGCTAAATATCAAGTTGAATAACAGTATTTCTTTTTCAATGTTTCTATGGAGCAAATAGGTTAGAGATGGAATCACTAAAGTGTTTGACAGTATCCTGATCAGATGCATGCAAATAACTCTCAATTAAGAATTAAGCTCCAGACGCAAGTCTTGTGATTCAATATCATTAGAGATGCTGGTAACGTGTGCTCAGTGATCGCAAACAATGTCAGTTTTGCTTTTGATTTGCCGGGCCGTGCAAGCAGGAAAAGGCATGTGTCATCGTGCTGTGTAGTATGATCCACTTCCTGTTCGTGGTTGCTGGCAGTGTATTTGTAGTATTGTGCCTTACCTTGGAGTCTAAGAAGGCATTAGACAACAGACAGGGGATGGGGGGTTATGCTTTTAACATGTACATGTGTGGGGATGGGGGTTAGGAACTAAATCAGGCAGTTTCAAAGTGCACTTTTTAAAAAGCAAACTTCCTGTACTTGTAGGTCATTGTACAATTGTACATGTTCATCTTCTGTGCATAATATCATGCATCTTATTACTACATGTACATGTACACAAGGTTCTTTCTCATCACAGTGTGGAATAAACCCTGATCTTGCCATGTCTCCCGTACCTATGGTATAGGTCTCCCATGACATTTACTTGCAACTTCTTAAGTTTCCCAGAAAGCCTAAATTACCCAAGCTTTAGTAGGGTTTCTCATAAAAAGCAAGTTCCTTTTTTTTCCCACTAGATTTTGCTGAAGCTGGTAGAGACAAAATCAGACTTCTGTATCTTGTATGGTACATGTATATGAACATACAAATGTGCACTACAAATTCATGTACGTTGTACATGGATGCACAATCATGATATTATCAGTTTGTTAAATGTTTATTACTCGATCCTCCAAAATCCTCTAGGAGGTTTTGGGGGATTTTGGAGGATCGAGGATGTGTGGCTGATTGGATGCACTGTGTCAAGGACAGGTTGTGAGTCAGACCATGTGTTGTTTGTACTCGGCCATGGATACAGTTATACATGAAATCATCTATACTGCTCCAGGATACCATTCACACCATCTCAACACAATAATAGGAATTACCCGAGGATCTTTAAGGATTGAGGCAGTGGGCACCCCTTAAAGGATCCTGTTCCAGAAGTATTGGAGGATTTTGGAGGATTTAGGCTGAATGCAATTTTTTGCATGGATAATCAGAGGATTTTGAAGGATTGAGGATGGTGCCAAGCAAAAAAGCCAAGGGGGTTAGGGTTAATACATACGTAGATAAATGCTTCTCATTCAGCCATAACCCACACAAATTCACCGTACAGGTACAAGTGCACGTCCAACAGTTGGTTTTGCTTGATTTTGTTGGATCTGTGACTGAAGAACAGTTGTGCTGCTATTTTGGTTCAGTTTTGTGCTTAATGTTTTCATGCAATGGAACATGTACAGGGTACCATTGCATTACTACACTGTCAGATTTCTGCTGATTCAGAAAAATTTCTAATTATTGCTGTGACTGGCACATGCTTTGTACATGTAAATGTACACACCTTCAAATGTCCGAATGCATCCCCCCATTCTAAACCTGTTGGAAAATTTTCCCACTAATTTGAAGATGATACATAATAAGTAAATAAAAGTACACCTTGAGATTCTCCGTCCACCTGCCACCTGCCCTTTTCTGTTTTGTTTTTAAACAAAAACGTCACCTGTCAAGCTGTGTAATCTACAGATCTTAGGCGGACTGCTTGCACCTGACCGTATTTCAGAATGACGAGCTCATATATGTTCCTGTTTTATTAATCCTGTGCGGTGTCCCCATTCACCAAACACCTTGGCATCCTCTACAGTCTACACATGACCGGCGTGGTGGCTAAATGTTTTACACGTGCAGATCTGCACAAAGAGTTGTGCCAAATCTTTTTACAGTTAATATGCAATCACGTTAAACAGCATGCACTGATGGATGGCAGGTGTTGATTGGATTTTACTTCATCCTTTGTGCTGTATGATCAGGCTTTGCATGTTCTGTCAGGTAGTGCTTAACACTACTTACATGCAGAGCCGTGCATACGATAGAGATGCATGTAGTTGCAATATGAGTATCACCATTGTTGGAAGCAAACTGGCCGGTATGTTAGCCAGTATAAAATAGCTGCGCGCTCCACTGTGCACATAAAAACAGCAATTTTGTTTCAGAAATCTGAAGTTGGCACTACTCTCTGTATACACAGCTCTGCTTATATGTACAGGTATTTGTATTAGTAATATAAAGACAGTGTAACCCAATAAAATGCGTATGTTTGTATGCCATTCGACAAGGTTGAAATTCATTTTGTTCCCTCTGTTTTCTAGATATCAAGATCAGTCATCTGGATTCCCAAAGTGTTTACTTTTAAACTCTTAGGGAAAATTCTTGTTCATTCTTACAAAATGCAATGATAACAGATGTTTTCCTGGTGCACTTTAGCTAAAACCACAAACCTTCACACAAGAGAAATCTTTTTGTGTACCACTTTTGCAGTTAGAAGAGGGTGGGCAGGAAGCGACGGTTCAGCGTGTTTATGAAGACGTTGAGTGGCTCCACCATTGCCTCATGACGGATACTGACACTAGCGGAATCATCGTAAGTATTGACGTCAAAACTGTGAGAATTTTTGGGAGACTTCTGTAAGCCTGTCCCTCCTTAATCTTCGGAAATGTTTCAAGGCATTTTAGAGGATCTTTGAAGATTGAGGCTGTTTGTGGTTAAAATGTGTGGCTGATTTTCAAGGATGCTTTATTAATGTCAAAGTCTTGCGCTTGGCCTTGTGCTGTTTGCTCAGCCTACAGGTACATAACTTCAGCCCTAGAGTTTTCTTGAAGTCATATAAACTGATGTGAATAACCAAAGGATTTTGAGGGATTGAGGCAGTGCCAGTCCTCCAAGGAACTCATTCAAGATGCAACCTGGAGTTCCCTGGAATTTATAGTCCGAAGACTGTGAAGATGTGAGGATGGATCCCAGCAAAGTGGACCCAGCTGGTTAGGACGGATCCTTCAAATTCTGTCTCTGGCCAGAAACTATGACACATTCCTTGCACTTCAATTTCAAGAAGGGGCCTCAAGTCCCATGTGAAGCTTACCTCTTCCTCATTCCTGCAGACTCCTCTGAACCTCCCGGTATGCTTGTGAAGGATTACTTTGAAATCGTGCTGCTGTTGCATAGTTCAGAAATTTGGCGGTGATTTCAAATTATTGGTCAGTACTCCCCCCCTTCAATTCTGTATTCCACCCACCCCCTTCCGGCAAACTTTGTGTCTGTGCGTAAGGGCCTGTTTGTTTTACGTGGACATCCAAATCTCAATCGGCAATCCATTGTGGGTTCACTGACACCAGAACCTGCCTCATGGATGGAGCAAACCGGTGTTGGGATCTGTGATTGAGATCCAGATCCTTATGAAACAAACGGGTCCTAAGACAAGACAATATTGTTTCCTGTGTAGATGCCACCCTTACCAGTGAGGCCTCTAGCATCGGCGGCAGATGCAGCGGCCAAGGCGAAGAGAGAGTTGGGCTCTGATGCCACGGTCAAAGGTCAGTACTGATACAGACTTATCGGAGGCGACGCTGTTACTGCGGTGGCACCAGACTCGTACACGCTCTTTAGACTCGACGCTCATAGTTGGGCAAGTTGTTTGAAGAGGTAATTAACATGCACCTGTGTGCGAGCTTGGGGCCTCTGCAGACGGCAAGTTTGGGCTTGATTTAACTGTGGTTTAACCACTGGTCATTTACACGTATTTTTTAACAACACAAACGTGCAGTACGGTCACACTTGGATGACCCTAGTTGAAGTATGTTTTAAAATCTTACTGTCACTCATATGTTGCCATAGAGTATGGTTGTTTTGGTGCATACATAGTTTTGACATCTGAGATGATAGCCCAATTGTGAATGCTTCATTCTCAGTATGAAAGGTCTATCTTGTGCAGCATAAATTAAGTACACATTTCATTTTTCAGCATTAACGTCCATCAACAAATGAACTCAAACATGCAATGTATACCATAAAAGAATGTACCGAAAAAAGCTATGTATACAAAATGTATTGCTTAATACTTGTGAAATGAACTAAAAAAAATTTTACCCAGGGGATGAATTTTACAAGCATTGCCGATCGCTGGAAAAATACTTGCAACTGGTTATCCGCCACAACTTCCTTGGAAAGAATGAATCTTTGGGCAAATTCCTCACGGAACCAGAGGTGAGGAAAAGTGTAGAGTTTCCTTTGATACTGGAAATGCCTTGACATAGACCCACATGGACTTCCTTAAATTATTTCATCCTTCACAGCATGTGCATTCATTTGGCATTTCCTAATTCAATGGTGCCACTCACTTCAGTAAAAACTTGGAATGGAATGGGTAATGTTGTGTGGAATGACAGGCCCAATGTCTGCTATCTTCTCAATGTTCATTGTAGAAATTACAGTAGGCTGTTACATTGTACATAGTGTACGTCATCAGTGAAATCAGATTTGGTCAGTACTTGAAGCACTAAGTACTCAAATATTAGGACTAGACTCCAACACAAGTTAGCCAGTCTCAAGTTGAATCATAGGGTATTCAAAAGGTCATCCCTCTGGTCCGTTGGCACTAATTAATCCCCTGTTGCTTGTGACCTGACTGGTGACCTGACTCATGACCAGACATGTTACCTGACTCTTGACTGGACCAGACTTGTTGCCTGACTTGTGACCTGACTTGTGACCAACTTGTGGCCTGATGTGATTTTGCTGAATGATCACTCTGCACATTTGTTTGGATAATTTGGGATAGATATTCATCCCTTTGGAACCCAGTTTTTACCGTTCAGATCTAGTGGCCCATATGTTTACATGTGCATGATCAGATTACCTGCTAACTTGTCAGATCCAACTTTGCACCTGTCTCCTTTTCTTCATCTCAGCCGCCTGTGCGAGCCAAGCTGAAGAACTCCTTCCTGACCAACTTGACCAAAGTGGTAGGTGAGGTGCGCAAGGGGGGCCACCAAGACCTGGACCCCTCCTTCCAGAAGGAGCGCAGCACCGTCAATGAGATGGTCAAGATCATGACAGACAGCAGCTTGCATTTCAATAACATGCTGAACGTCAGTGAGAGTACGCCTGTTTTGTATTTTTTTCCATTTGTGCACCTATTATTGAACTTTTTGTTCGGTGATCCCAGCTTGTTAGTCAGAAACTAAAACTTGCAATTTTTGTGTAGCGCACTCAACATTTTTTCAGACAGTTTTTAAATCACCTGTTAGTGTTTATGAACACTAGTGGTAGGTTTATGCTGATCACCTTCAAATTTCACCCTTTCTCGTTTCTGGTTTTACAGCATTCTACTAGGTGTAGGGATCTGTAGTTCAACAACTACCAATGCTATAGTTGAGTCCACCACATGTCCTTTTACAATTTCTTCACAAGTCCATAGTCTATGGATGGATGGATAGATTTGCGCCGGGGACGTTAATTAATTTTGGATTTTTGCCCTGCCAGACGTGCGTCGGGCTGCCGCATCTGACTTGAACCAGCCAGCCGACACTGGCAAGCTTGGTGGTTGAATGATTAAGACTTCTGCCCTAGTAAGCAGGAAATTGTAGGTTCGAGTCCCACCCGAGTATGCTTGTTTTTTCTTCAGGAGCAAACGCTGAGTATACAGTGTTATAATACACGTCGGGCAGGGCAAAAGTCTAAAATTAAGTCCAAGGTCATTTCATAAGACCAGTTATAAATAACATGGTGAACAGGAATATGACTCGACTTGTGAATGGATGACTTGCAGTGGAGTTGGAGGGGTGTGAGAAAGACTCAATTACATCATTGGCCACCACTTCGCATGAAGCTTGATATCATGATTTTGTCAAAAAATAGTTGTCATCGGTCTCCCTTTTATCAGGTTCCGACCTGTTCAGGATCTGCCTTAAGCCCATGACGAGTGCCACCGTACGGCTGTCAATTTCATCATCAATTTTGTATCTTTTACAGGATTTTCAGCCTCCCTGAACAATCTCTCTACAGCCTTGTGTCTGGCCAGCACTGCAGCCGAAGAAGGACCCGTTTCAGACCTCAATAAGTAAGCGTGACCACTGGGCGGAGGGGTCTAAGCCCCATATGTGGCCCCAGCTGTGAGCGGGATTTCAGCTCCGACTAAGTTTTGTAAATTCAGTCCTTTCAGTTCAGACCTTTGGTCTTGAAGCAGCTCCATGTTGAACTGACTGTCATCATTAGTGAGAGGCCAAAGTTTGGAATCTTTCAAAAGATGAAGCAAAAACTGGGGATGAGGTTGGGTTTTTGGAAAACGTCCTGTGATGACTGATTGTGGTCCTCATTCATTTTTGAACCCAGTTAGTCCATACCGGTGGAGAATCCGAGCATTGTCACTGTTGTCTGCTCCGCCAAAATGAGGAATAAGTAGTGCATTGTAGTGCTCAGAATTGATTGAAAATGCCAACCTTGTAGTTGAATAATAATGGAAATTATTTTGTGCATAAAAAGTGTCTTAGACTGCTAGTGATGTTTTACAACATTTTATAAATATTTTTGCTGTTTCTTTTCCCATTTATTAGTCCCAACATGTTTTCCAAACTTTCGGCGTTCATCTCAGAACCAAGATTTCAGAATTTCTTCCTTCAAATCCCAAACCCTCTGTGCCAAATAACCAAATATGTACGGCTTGGCTCTTGGCAGTACTTTGTCCCCAGCTGCTCCTTATTGGCAACTCCAGTCATGCATGCAGTAGCAACACTTGACTGTTGCGATTGTTGGCTTTTTTTTTTTTCTCTGGATAAGCAGAAAAATGAGAAAGGACAGAATACCGGTTAAACAAAACCAGAAGACATTCTGCCATGTGAGCATTTCTCAGAAAAATGTGAAAGAGAGAAACTTCAAACAACAAAAGCATGAGCTTCATGAAAGCAACAAAGTGACAGGAACGAGTCATTGATTGTGGAGTCATGAAATAATGGACCTTTTCCATGAAATATGCAAATTGGACTGGCACATGCGCACTACTACCACTGGTTGGCAAGTGCAGCCGTCAACACTGTGGGTAGTATAGGCGAGCTGCTAGTAACCATAACCTGGAGCATTGATGGTCAGTCAAAACCATATTACAGCCTTTGCCCGATACTTGAGCACACTTTTTTCAAAACTAAATGAAGTTTTCAGTGTCCTGAGGTTAGAAAGTAACAGTTCCTTGTCTTAAGTTTGCACTCATGTCAAACTATACTAGCACAGAAACGGCGATAGTGACGTGCGCATGGAGATTTGTATTTTTACGTCAAAGATTTAAGCAACTTTGCCAACCAGTGGTAGTAATGCGCATGCGCCTGCCTTATTTGCATATTTCATGGGAAAGGTCCATCATAAAACGCATCGAAGACAAAAAACCCCGAATTTATTCAGAAGAGAAATCGACAAAGTGGGTTACGGATTACGAGAAGTTGTACTGAATCTCATGTCCCTGCTTGTTGGCCAGTGGATACTAAGCTAGGATCTGTTATGTAATTTTCTTATGTATGGTCCCTGCCACTTTTTTCAGGTTGCAGTTGCATTTTGCCAAGGCTGTTGAGCATTACTCCCACGGAATCGACATCTTTGTTGCCAACGACGAGCAGACGCTGGGGTTCTGCCTGGACCACTATGCAAAATACTTGGATTCAGAGAAGGTATGTCATGAAAAGGATTACTCAAATTCACTCAGCTGTCAACTTTTTCCAAAGTTATTTTTGCTCCAACCATTTCGGATTTTTTCATCTGGATTTTCTTCATTTCAGGAGATTTCAAACAAAAGTAAGGTAAATCTCGAGCTAGCCTAAACATCAATCTTTTTAACTAATTGTCCATTAGGCAAGTAGCACTGAAAATGTACTTGCCTGAGGTAAGATTCTATTTGCCCAAACCCTGGTGTAGTTGCTCATTGTTTCCCAGGACAGTAAGTTCCTCCTTGGCCATAATATGACATGAATATACATCACCCAAACTATTGTGTGTAGGCAGAGAGAGCGCAGGATCCTGATGCATCATTCATACAAGTTCAGGCAACGGCTATTTCTTAACCACACAACAATTTTGCTAGGTGTCATTTATTTAAAAAGTATGCACATAAGTATCAGGCAAAATTTGCTAATGTTGAAGTCATGGCCACATGTATAACAGTCTTTGAGCTTCCAGTCGTCAAAGCTCTGCTGCGCCACGTATGCAATAATCATTGAGGTTTGGTACCCAAACACAGGGGTATTTTACAATTTATTTGTGTACGTATTTTGTTTTCCCTTGTGTGGAAAGTTGCCCTGCTAAATGTGTAGCGTGCTTAATACACACGAATATGTAACGATGCAAAAAAATCATTGTACGACACCACATAGCTGTTTACTTTTTATCACTTTTTAAAGCTTTTGTGAAGAGGAAGAAAAATAAAAAACAACTGCATGCCATAGTTCCTTTGCTGCTGTGGGGGCCTTCAAAACCTCCGATGATTATTTTGTGGATATGTCATTTTTCCCTCCAATCTCACCCTTGGGCTTCAAAGAGATTTTGCAAGATCTAGAAAGGCTAGAGACAGCCCACTGTTACTATGTGGACTGATCTGAAGGGGGGCCTTTACTGTGAAGGTATCACACTCACACATGCATTTGGCAGGTCGTAAGTACACCATCAGTTAAAGAGACATATAAGCTGAGTACGAGCCTGGTATTATCACAGTAGTGGCTTCAAATTCTAGTCGCAGGATTAATAACTATGAAGTCTCCTATAGCGCCAGTATCCACCGTAGGAAGTGCTCATGGCGCTTGCCCTGATGTCCACCATTATCCTAGTCAAGTTGTCTGAGGCTGCATCTGAATCTCTTGCCTAGAGCTAGGTCTGGGTCTTTGTTCCATTGGAAATGCGTGGAGACGCGTAGACAATAGATCCAGCTGGAGCTCTGGAAGCCTGTTTCGGACGCAGCCAGAAAGTCAGTGATTGTCTATATAAAACAACATGTAATCAAAACTACAGTTGGGCGAGGAGATTTGTTTTTGGCATTGATTTGAATGTTTCTAAAGAATCAGCTCTGTTGGTGTACGGGAGATTATTTCAAATCTCTGGTGCAGCCACTTGAAATGACCGAGACCCCCTTTGTGCCAATGCATTTGTTGCTTCATGCCCACTGGAAGAATGGATGAAAATATGCTACAGCTAAGGTTCCTGGAAGCTCCAGTAGGTTGCTAGCAAACACTTGATGGGNTTAAGTGGTTAGTTTTTCTTTGAAGTGCCTGCTGCGTCTTTGACGTCCATTCCTTCTTTCATCCAGTCGATGCTGTTCATAAGGACATGTAAGCTGCTGGAGTATGAGAATGCCTCCAAGTCACTAGAGAAAGCCAAACCGCTCAAGAAAGAAGCTGTAAGTACCGCAGTATGTGGTTGGTTCGTAATGTTGGTTTGTTTTCAAGGACTGTTTTTGTTTTTCATTTTAAATGTAAACGTGCCACTGAGGTTTGGACTGTTAATTTTATTCGCCCACTCTAATTGATGATTGGGCAAAGCTTGTCCTTTCAGTCAAGTTCAAGTGGTTGTGATTTGTGTTTGGAGGGGAGGTGGATTCAATTTTGTCTCTCGATGACTGTTCAAACAATGCAAGGGTCGACAATTTAGACAGTGTTTCAAAAAGTGTCTAATTATCCAACTGCTGTAGGGTTGGTTCAAATATCTGTTGTTAGGCTGTCCAACCATTCCTTAATTTGCTTGCACGTGACACTACTATGCTGTGTTAGAAAAGATTGTGTCAAAAGTTTTTTTTAGAAATAACAGAAAAGTAACTTCCTTGAGCACCACATTTGGTGCTTGTTACACGCATGTAAGTCCCTCCAGTGTTGCCATATTTTAAATACTATATGCTGTGCGCATGAACTGTAGAAGGCATTCTCATGGGGCCTTTGCAAAGAACTAAAATATGAACTGCCCTCGCACTCCTGTGGTGTCAAAAGATGAGCTGTCAGTCTCTTGTCTAGAGATCTTGACGTCAACTTGATTTAGTTCTGATTTTGTACTGTTACTTCATTTTTTATTTCTCTAACAGGCCGAGGAGCTCAAAGAAAAGCGAGAGAAGGAGTTTAATGCCATATCCGAAATTGCCAGGAAAGAGGTAAGTGCTTGTGCTAATCTTGAGGACTTGAAGTAACGTCGTCCTTTTGAGATGTAACAAAATGCAAGAGTGTTCAAGAGCTGGTTGCATGACAGTCACCACAGGTTGTGGGGAAACGGTGCATTTCACAGTGCCACAAATGAAAGGTTACATTCTGTTGCATAATTGCTCTCATTTCATTTGTGTCAGACTTTGTTGGATTTAGGAGGGGGCCTAGACAAACATGTACAGAAGGTTTTTTGCTGGACAAAAATTATGGCTTTGAGAGGACTATTGTACAAAAGATCGGGTTAAATACAAGCTGGGCACATTTGCATTGAATTTGCCAGGGAGGGGAGTAGCTCTATTTAAGGAGGGGGACTTGGAAGCACTCAACAGTAGCAGATTGAAAGACCATTAACTGGAGATAATGATTCCTAGGCATTTTCATGAAATTGATGCCCGTCACTCCTCTTTATGTTTTCTTTTTCTTGTCTTTTCCTGTCTTTTTTCCCTATTTTTTGGTTTCCTCATTTTGCTGAGGGGAGGAAGTACCCAACCGTGTCCCCATAGAGGCAAACATGCACTTTTTGTCAAACTGAATGTGCCCATCTGTATCCCTCAGATAACCAAATTTCACCGGCAGCGGGTGGTCGAGTTCCAGAAGGCGCTCATCTTGTATGCCGAGGCCAAAATCAAGACTGCCCGGGACATCTCAGCTCTCCTTGCCAAGGACCTGAGCACCCTCAAGCAGATGGAGTTGAGCGATGGATCGGGTCAATAAGGATCGGCTGGGAGTGCTTTCAATGATGTGTAAATGGGATAGAGTAACAGGAGACATTCGGCTTAAAGGAAGCCTGGTCTTCCCTTTGAAATAAGCGACTTGTTAAACAGTTTAGCTACATCAATATTTATAAAATGCATTCATTGGTAGTCCATGGTGCCTCGCGTAACACAGTAAGTGACTGTTTTTGTCACATTACGGAATAATTGTCTCCAATTGTGGGTCGTCCTCTGGATGTTTTCAAAACCATGTATGGTACCAAAAGACCACAGAAACAGACAGCCACCTGGCATGCTTATCGTATCTGCTCGTTTGCAAAACACTTCATAGTAACCTGACTGCTTTTAGAATATAGCAATTCACTGAGCTGGTGATTCCTGCTTTCAACTCTGTGTGTGCATGTACATGTGTGTGCAAGTGAAAAAGGCCTTATCTTGAGATGTTGTTAACCACTTCGACTGGTGCTTCTTTTCTCGAAGAACATTCTTCATATCTTGACAGATTTCTTTGTACGTAATGTAATTTTGACGCAAGTCACGTATTTCTACTGTTCTGGTCTGCATTTTAAAATTGCCAGTTTTCTTTGACCTGCAACATAGACAGCCATCTTTTGCTTTGAAAGAGGCTTCATTTTCTTGTCATCCGTGGACGGAGTGCAAGAGGCAGTATTGATGTAATGGCCTAGTTCGGGGGTGGGGATTGGGGGTATTTTTGGTGTTGGAGGGATACAGCATCATTGTATCAGAGGCAAATATTGCCTTGCACTGCTGAGGTGCTGTATAAAATCCCACTTGTGTATACTTCCTAAATGAAGTTTAAATTGTAGTATATATCTAGCATAAGACAGGCACTTATGTAGCTGAGTTGTAAGTAAGCTGGTCCAAAAGTGAGCTAACAAGACATGAATCTTGAACAAATGCCAAGAGGAAATTCTTTGTTCAGGTGGACAGCTTGTCACTGGCCTCAAAAATGGTCTCTGTGCTTTCACACGTAATTGGCCTGTGATATCTTGATCGCAGCTCTTGCTGTGTAGGTCAGTTTGTGGTATTCAGAGTTGAGCGATTGGAATGAGTGTTGACAACTGAGTCAACAGTTACTAGAGGATTTAATTTCGTTTTCAGCCTAGGCTTTTTTCTTCTGAAAGTTTAAAGTGTTTACTCTTTAAAGTGAAACATTAGAGATTGGATACCCACCAGAATTATGTGCATGAAGTATATGCACCAACCGTCGCTGCATGTGCCAGAACTAACTTATCCACTCTGTGAAGCAACAGAAGAGGAGGATATGTATCCGTGTTTTTTTTTTTTTCAGACTTCCTATTAATATAACAGATTCTATATACTCCATCACACTTATATGTACCGTTATTTCAATGTTTATTTCGTATTAAGTAGATTATTTCTGCCATTTGTAACCAAGACGGTATTTAGATCATGTTTTATTTCTTTATGTTATATCCATGGACGTCTTTAGGGGTTTTTTTGGGGGGGGACAAGACGCTCATCAGCAATGAATCAGTTAACCGTTAACAGTGAAAGAATTCAGTTTGGAGATTTTTCCATGCACAGTTTTGAGTTTCATCCCATTTTGTGTCAAATTTTCATTCTTTTCCTTTCCTCCCTTTTTATTTTTCATTTTTTGGTCCCCCCCATGACGCCCATGGGGTTATCGGTGAGAAAACTATCAAGAATCAACACGGTTGGAGTTGCCGTCGGTTCGGGATCTGCAGAGACATTTTTGTATGAATTTGATCAAACAATAGGGCAGTGAACTTTAAAATAACTCCCCAGAATCCTAAGATGTCTGCTCATTTTAATCTGTGCAGCACAAACACAATCTTAACTTGTTAGAACACAGCATTACCGATGAAGCTACTGTTTTCAAAATTAATATTCAAGTTCATTTGATTTCTTTTGTTTATACATGTGTGTCAAAATGAAGCTTTTTTGTGTTATTTTCTAATCTTGTTGAAGAAATTACTGACACTGTACATCCAGAATTCGGATTCTAAAACCTGGAAGTCATTTTATTGAATTTCTTTAGTTTTGCAACCAGCTGAGCTGTACATTACTATAGTGTTTATTTTACGGCCATTTCTATCTCAACATATGAAATGCACAGATTGAAACTTCTGTTTGTTTTTTGGATGAGAAGAAATGAATGATAAAATTGTTGGTAGTTGAAGGCCCTTCACGGTCTGTAAGTATAAATGTTAAGCAGATATAATTGTGATTAATGTATTGTGTATGCCTTGACAGCATGACATTAGCACAAAAACATTCAGATAATTTTGAAACTAATTAAAACCGACATTTTGAAGTTCCAGTCATGCTGTTGCGCCTTTTTTCTGGTGGCCCACGTTAAGCCGACCTATATGTCACAAAGTGAGTGTGGATTTTTATTTTTGAACTTTATCTGTATGTTAAAATAAAAGTAAATTTTCTACCCCTTGGTACAAACAATTTGAAATTGTGACAATGCTTATATGGTTTAAATATACTAAAGATGAAATGTATCGTGCACAATTACCATTGCCTTAAATAATTTCCATTGAAATAACAAAACTTGTTTATATAATAAATCTTTCCCAGTTAAGAACATTCCAAATCATCAATCTGGATTGATTTCTATACCAAGGATTTTTCCTTCAGGTTTCTTGGTTCATATTCATAAACCTACTTTTGCCGAAATTAATTGCATTCTTTGGAAATACCATTTCTACATTTTGATAATTCGATTGACTGATTTGACAGGCATATGCATTTGGTGCAATAATGATTTAATCCGTGAATCTGTATCATTAAAATCACAAGCAGGCGAATTCTACAGCCCCAGTTGCAGTTTAATTTTGTCATTTGTTACAACGAAAGGAAAGATTTGGTGATAAGTGAAGTTTAATGATGAGGGTGTATCCCGTATCTGTTGTCTGGAGCTGGCCGGGTCTTGAAATGCACGGAGACGCTGTTGACAGACGTAGCTGTGTTCCCCTCTCAGACACGGCTTAAAAGCCGTTGTTCTTTTCCACCCCCGGAGGGGAGCGAACTTCTTCACGTCTTGCCTTTTGATATGTTTCGAAATTCTAAACCTTGTCTTCGTTCAGCCGGCTTCTTAATTTTTTTATTTTAGGCTAAATTTTTTGGTCGCCAAAGGTGAGACTACAGGTTAACGTAATTGCGTTTTCTGCTTCAGGAACAAAATAATAACTATCCGTAAAATATGAAGCCGAAAGTTTGCTTCTTTCCTGATCCCCTTTTCACAGCGGACGCTTTAAAATGATTGCACAAGTGCTCAACCAACATACACACCTTGCGCGAGATTCGTTCGGTAAATGGCCTTGTGATTGTTAGTTTGTACCTAGACGTAGACGTAGAGTGCTGCGTGATTCGGGTACGGGAATAAAAGAACCTGTCTATTTCTGAAGCATTGCGTGCCTGGTATTACGCGTGCACACGGAGAACGACTTGTGTTTCAGAGCCAGTCTTCATCTACATAGGTTCAGATCACCTCAGATTTCTTTCCTTTGGCCACGAATTTAATCAACTCTTACTCTGTGTAAAAAGAAGTCTTATTGCTGCAAATTGAGTAATTCCCACGTGGTTACAGGCCGTATTCATCTCTTGTTTGTTATTATTATTGTCTTATGTTGCTAATGCCATTGCCAATGTACTAATGTCTGTGTGAATATGAAATTTGTATGTGTGGTTATGTAAGTGGGGGTCCCTGCTCGACAAGCACTGCATTTTGGGGACTCCCCTACACCCTCATGTGGAAATAAAGTGAAAAAGTAAAGTAAGGTAAAGTAAAGTAAAAAGCAGTTTTTCCCCGATTGTTCCTCACACTCCACAGGCATTACTGACCTTGTTGACAGGTCTGGCATCATGTTTATGATACAATGATCTCAGACCACCTCGTGGTGGATCCCTTGTCAACTCCGAGATGTCCACAGCCAGGAAGGCCTTTAAGATATTTATCGGTGGCTTTGTGTTTGGCGTTGGGGGCTCGCTCACGTTCTTTGACAAAGTCGGCTACTTTGCAACTGTGGATGGAAAATCAATGCAGGTAGGCTTACATCTACATTCATTAATTGTACTACCCTCAGAACTGTGGGGTCCGATGTCCGCCCCATTCCCACGTGGGAGCGGGGTGGACATCGGACTGGGGGTACATTTGTACATGTGTTGGTAGCCTAACATGCCTCGCCTGTATTTTTTGTAACTGCATGATTCACAACCCATTTTTGCACTTTGTGAACTAAAGTCCATAACCATATAGTCGTCAGGTCCCTTAAGCTTATTTCGCCACCTGCCATGAAAACCAATCAGACTTTTAAACAATAAGTGGCGAAACTAGGGACCCGCAGTCACAGACGCCAGGTCTATTCGTTACAGGTCTATTTGTTACAGGGGTCATATTGTTTCAGACATTGTTAACCAGGTGGAATGACTTGAATCGTTACAACTTCGTTTGATTCAAGTCACAATTTTGGCAACTCAGCTTGAGTCTCAATGTGCAACTGACTTGAATCAATTAATTTTGGGTTTTTGCACTGCCGGGCGTGTATTACAACACTGTCTTCTCCTGCACAACAACCTCCACTATGGGATATTTTAAGTAATACTGTTATATACTCGGCGTTTGCCCCCAAAGGCTTGTGAAAAATCCCACAAATAAGTGTACTCGCTTGGGACTCGCACCCACGACCTCCTGCTTACTAATGCAGACGTCTTAACCACTCGACCACCGAGCTTGCTGGAGTTGGCTAGTTGGTTTAAGTTAGTTGTTTGCGGTACCCGCTGCTACATCTATTTCAAGGATGGATCTGCACCAGGAAGATGTCAATTAATTTTAGGTTTTTGCCCTAGGCTGTCCGACGTGTATTATAACATTGTATACTCGGTGTTTGCCCCTTAAGGCTTGTGAAAACACCCACAAGTGTAGTCGGGTAGGACTCGAACCCACAACCTCTTGCGCGAATCAACTTGCAACAGTACAAGCAAATCACTTGAGACTAAACAAAATGCAGTTGCACTGAAAAGTTACTGTAATCCAACTTTCTCTTGTGTCCTGTGTATTTGCACGTAGCCTGTTCTTAACCCCATCCATGAAACACAAAGAGACATCATTTTCCTGAACCACTTTGCTGTTAGGGAGTACCAGCTCAAGCGTGGAGACATCGTTTCACTAGCGTGAGTGTAACATGTACTGCTTTGACATTAGAATTTGTCCAAGTCGGAAATTATTTTATTTGTTGTTTGAAGAAGCCTCACATCTTTGCCGCTCATAGTCAGAAATTTTAATAATCAAGGTTTTTATTGGTCCAGGGAAATCCTCATCAGCAATTCTGGAGTTTTTTTCACCCTGAAGAACTAAGAAACTGTGTCAGAGTGCTTCTGTCCTAAAGTCCTTGAAAAGACTAACAAAAACTGTCTCATTTGTTATATGTTACAACACTGGCTGCAGAAGCGGGGGGGGGACACTTTTTGACTAGGGGGCATGGCTCCCCACTTGTTTGCAGCGCCTATAATGGGGTGGGCTTCATGGATTGACCTATTAATGGCTGACACCTGATGATCTAACAACTGGCCCCCCCCCACTTTGAAACTTGATCCACTGCCATTGTGTTACAATGCAGTCCAGAAGTATAGGTGTGTCAGTTAAGTTTGTCTGCAGTGCCTTTTTTGGGCCTGTTAGCTTTGATATTAAGTAACCATACTAGAAATAATAATGTTTTAGCTAAATTCCATTGGTTTGCTCACAGGACATCAGGAGTTAGCACATGTGTGCTTTAAGATAGTTTTATGACTCCAAATGTCCTTAAGATTCCACACAAGCCACTGGTGAGGTATTTCTTTACATAGTATACACTTTAGAGAAATGACAGCATTCGCCTTCTTGTTTTGACAGATCCCCAAGTCGTCCAGATGAAGTTCTCATCAAACGGGTCATTGCTTTGGAAGGTGACACAATCAGGTATTTTACCATGTGATGCAGTTCGGCGAGCCATCACCTCTGTAAATTTTGTCATCACTTGGACATTTCAAAACCCTTTTCTTCACTTGCATCGGTGTATGGTCTAAAAGATAATGTAACGAGATGACATTATTGTGGTATTATTGCTCTTGTGCATGTTCTTACATCATGGCTGTTTTGAAAACTCCGAGACTATGTCACGGAGCAAGATGGGTCCCTGAGCCATGGCTTGCGGCCACTTGAGGGCTCCACAGTGTTCACCCTCCATGGACTAGATCTAGCCTGTGTGTATGCGCAACTTGAAACAAAGTGAGAATCACTCAAACGTGGGGGCGAGTGTAGATGTCACCCGCTACTGCATGCAGAATATGCCCCAACATGTTTAAACGTTCTCCATGTTTTGTGTTGAAATCGCTGCTGGTTTCCACGTCACCCAGCATGAAGTGATTAACCCTAACAGTCCTCAATCCTCCAACAGGTGAAGGATTGAGGACTGTTAGGGTTAACATTGTGCTCCACCTCTGTGTGAGAGTGGAGCAGCGGAGGTAATAACTTAAAAATTTTGGTTGCCCTAGAAACCATAACTAAGTCAAACCAAAGAGTATGCTTTATTCTGCGGGAGAAATCTGCCTCTTGGAAGCAAACATTTTTCCGAGTAATGAGGACGATGATACCTTGCAGCGTGAGTTATCATGTTCTCAATTTTCTGTCTTACTCAGGACGTTGAGCTATAAGAATCGCTACGTAACCATTCCGGAGGGTCATTGCTGGATTGAAGGAGACCATCACAGCGTCAGTCTGGATAGCAACTATTTTGGACCGGTAAGATTTGAAAAGCCTCACATAACATTTGCTAAGAGATGAAGGACGATCAGCAGAGGGATGAGCAGTTATGAGAAGGGGCAAGGATCTGTTTTTATCTTTGTCAAGCATGCTTGATTCACTAATGAGAAATTTGCCTTCTGTAATTTTTTTAAGGATCATTGGCTCATCAACCTCAACGGTTCTTGATCATGAGGGACTCATTGCATATGGCTTGAGTTTTATTTGACTCTGGTGTGACTTTTCACCCATATTTGGTCCTGGCCCAAGTAACCAACGTACTGAGCCAGCTAGTTGGCGAAGTATGTCACAGTGTACTGTGAAAAAACATGGTAGATTAGGTGAACGATGCTGAGGAAAGTTGTTGGAAGTTGTTCAGAAAAATGGCCAAATATAGCGGGGATTAATTGGCTCAACAAAACTCGGGTCAGTGAAAGAGACCCAAAAAAGTGTGTCTGTTAGTTTCAGCCATCTGGTTCATTTTGCAAATTTATCTGATGCGTCGCGACTTAGCTGGACACTTTGAGTAATCCTGAGATGGTTCATTACTAACAGAATCTCATTGTCCATCTAGGCCTACAAAAGATGAAAGCAACGGTAATCATGAGGGAGGTAATTGAATGAGCAAATGATTAGGCCAATGGAAATGATATGGATGGGAGAATTACACACTTTAACACTATTGAGTTATACCCCTGCGTCCTAAATGTTACCCCATTTTCTCCTCAAGGTCACAGTGACTAAAGGAAACCCTTACACCTGTTGCTGTGCCTTACACCAGTAACCTTTTTGTCTTAATCAACTTACTCTCTCACATGGCAGGTTGCCCTCGGTCTGGTCCATGCCCGTGCCTCCCGCATCATCTGGCCCCTGCATCGCCAGCAGCGGCTGGAGCCAAGACTACCCAAAGATCGCCAGCCCATCAGTCTGTCTCCGTCCCTGGTGGAGGAGCTGATGGAAGAGTACCAGGAGGTTGAGTCTCTAGAATTGGAAGACGTGCAGATATGAATCTGCCCATCACAGACACCCTCGCACACGTGTGGCTTGTGATTACCTGCATGTCTGACAGAAATCTGAACATTGGGTTAATGTTTTCTGTGCATCACATACATGCACAGTGTCATGTGCACTGCTACTTTTGGCACTAACGGTTGCAGCAGAGACTATGAGCGTTTTCTAAAAGAGTGGATTTGGCTTAGACTTTGGTTTTGCTGGTTCCAGCCACTTTGAAGAAGCATTCAAAAGTACATGTTCAAGCTCTGACTGGAACCAGCGAAATCGAAGTCTAAGCCGAATCCACTCGATTTGAAAATGCTCTGTGTTGGTGGTTTTTGTGGCTGCATTTGAGATAAGACACTCTTACTACCGTGAAAAGTATTTTTGTAATTTGGAGGACATTTTCATGAAGTGTGTTGCTAAAACCAAAGGTTAATTTGTAATGCCAATATTTAATGGCTCTGTAGCCAACATTGTCACGTTAGAAATTTGCCAAGTGCACATCCACCTCTGGTAGTTCTCAGGGTGTTACATCATTATTATCCCTGACCATCAGGCCCATAAACATTCCTGCAAGCACCTCCGCTCCGTGGGGTGTATAAAGCAAGATGCTTCCACTCCAGGTGCAAACTGCCACCCAAGCACATCAGCCATCTCAACCCTCACAGGTACCCATTCATGCTTCTAGGTGGAGAAACGTCAGTAAAGTAACTAGTCCAAGGTCACAATATGTAACCAGCTGCTGGATTCGAACCCCTGACCCTATGATTGGGAGTTCCAATGTTAGTGACTATGCCACACACCAAAGTTGAAATAATCCATTGAAGGGCAGCGAGGTCCCTGTGTATTTGCTTTTCTAGAAAGAGCTGTGTCTCTCGATTAAATCATTTGCCGCATGTAGAGGAAGGGTGTTCAACATATTTTGTTGTATGGTTGGATTGAGTTCAGGGATTAAAACATGATTGAGAACATGCAGTCCCCAAAATGCAATACTGGCATTGCAGCATCTGAGCCATCCAGCCCTAGGTTGGTGGGAGCCATCCAGCCCTAGGTTGGTGGAGCCATCCAGCCCTAGGTTGGTGGGAGCCATCCAGCCCTAGGTTGGTGGGAGCCATCCAGCCCTAGGTTGGTGGGAGCCATCCAGCCCTAGGTTGGTGGTAGGTCTCCAATCTTTCCCAGGTGTACTCAATTATTTTGTTGAGGGAGTTGCCAGGTTCTTGTATCTTGTAATCACTGTACCTGATGTCTCATTCAGTGTCAGTAATTTAGCGCTTGCCGATGCATCCGTCCTGTCCAGCCACTTAACGTCACACAGTTGTGGTCACAGATGACCCCAACTCCACCGAGGCTGTTGATTGGTCAGAGTTTATCAGCTGCTGACCCTGTCACATGACACAGCATGGTAGTTTTCAAAGTCATTGACAGCATCAGTGAAGCAGTCCAGTGCATTGAGATTTCAATCACCTTGTCAAATTCTGCCTAATGTTGATCATGTATAAATGTGAATTGCACGCAGGAATATTTACATGGTGCAACCATAAATCTGTTTAGTAGAGGCAATGTGTTGAGGTTAAGGAAGTGGGCAGGGGCTTTATATAACTAGAACAGGCTCAAGTAAACCTTATGTGCATTGATTGTAACTGACTTAAAATAACCAAAAATAGCCTCCAAGGCACCAGCAGCAATGCATGAACTCTGTACATCTTATCATATGCTGAAGCTTGCAAGATAATCAAATTGAAATTATGACTTCCAGAAAATTGCAACATTCTATTATTCCTATGCACGCACAGGCCTGTAAGTCAGATTAATTTTAATTATCAGAATCTGTGCACATGGAATATTTGGAGTTGAATTGCTTTGTTGGACAAGACTTTCATTGCTGCATCGTTGTAAGACCTTGTCCAAATCGGTTGGCTGTGGCTCGCAGTAGGGCATGAATCAATGGGAAATGGCTACAGCTGCTGACTAGCCATCTGCTGTGTGTTTAACACCTGTATTGCTAGCCGTGGCTATAACACTGTGTCCCAGGGGAAGCCATTTTAGCTGGTAAATCGGTTCCTTTTGCAAATTGAGTTGGCAAGCCCTGTAGTTTGATGACTTTGCTGAATTGCATGTGCTTTGTACATAATGTTTATTTTTTCTTCTGCTGTTATTGGAATAGAATTTTATCATTGTCCTCTTAATAAAACTCAAAAGTATTAATGATCTTGTGATATTAGCAATTTTAAATGTAAGACTCTGTTTGGATTTAGAATAAAAAACGCCAAACATTGATTTTGTTATTTAAAGTGAGTAAATGCGGGGCTAACAGAATATATTTATGTCTGCCAGACACTCAAATACAGTATTCTGTATAATTGGTGTTCCCCCGGATATTATTTCTGTTGGATTCAACCGTAAAAGGCCGTAGGCTGGGGCAGTATCCGTCACGCGTCCAGGTTTTTCATCGACTGTGCGCAGGAGAAAGTGCGACACATAGACAATCCTGTATGAAACACTCGACCCAATACAAAGTCATTGCGAAAAGCTGTCCTAGGCAGTGTCCGTATCATTTGGCTGCGGCTAGAAATTGCGTTCGAGTCTATGTTGGTGGCCGTGGTTGGTTCGAATTCCCTTTGAGTCGTGTGTAGTTTCAAGCCGCAGCCAAGTGATTCGGACGCAGCTTCATTTTAATTCGAACTTTACAGATGTGAAAAAAGTGATGTGCTAAAATTCAATAAAACCCATCTGTGTGTGAGTACCCGGTCAGGATTCAATCTAAAGGAGTGGGGTGGGCCGGGTGATAGATCAGGAAGACACAAACCTGAAGTTGGAATTTTATTAGTTCCAGAAGTTGATGAACATCAAGAGATTTACTTGCTGAGTAGGGATGAGTTATGAAGTTTTACGAAAAGCTGCCCAAGTCGACGTTGTTTTCGTTTGAGGGTTGCCTGGACAGTTGTGTCATGAATAAAAATCCATGTGTTTCTAATAACCCGTTTGCGTAAACGAAGCTGCCCTGAACATGGCCCGAACAACGGCCTCTAGAATCCTGACTAAGATGGAGTTTCAGGTCGGGGGGAATATTTGTTGCGGCAACGATACTGTGTCATGTCGTGAATGTGTGCACAGATACGCGGCGCTGCATGTGTCAACAAGGAAACATTTTGGATTCACATTCCCAGCACAAAATAATTGTGCGGCCATGACCTCAAGGGTGCACCCTTGTATTTAGGCCAGAAATATGTCCGCCGAGCTCATTAATAAAAGTTATACACTCAAAATATTCTATATTAGTGGGTCCTGAGAGCCATGGAAGTGGGGAATTCAAGAAATATGAGACTGGACCTCTGGGCCGGACTCAGGGCTTCCAATTCTGAGCAATTTGGATGCAATCGGGTCCGAAAGGGGAACTATTTGGCCGTTTTGCAGAGGGATGGTTTTTCAAAATGGCTACTTTTCTGGAGCGGGACATTTTCTTCATTTTAGGGGTGGTCTGCGTCTGGTGAAAATTTATCAAAAATTTATTGGTCAACCCCCCCGAAAATGTGAAAGGAAAATGAAAGGGGACATGCGGAATATTATTTTCCTGTGCAGCCTGAACATCTGTTGTGAGTATTTTGACATATTTGTGAAGAATGGGGATTTATCGCTGCTGTCTATGGGAATTTATTTGTAGTGGTGCACCCTCAAGCGAAGCTTGAGAGGTACTGGGGCTCCTTGTTCAGGTGAATGCATTT